ACATGCTTAAAAGTAGAACATGTATGAGGCAGCGGTGAAATCCACTTACCTTCACTACCGGTTCGGGAATGGGAGCGCTCGCGCTATGCACTCCTCTTCTGGGATGTAATGACGTTCCCAGCGGGTGGGGGGAGCTTCCCACTACCAGCGCTACCGGTTCAGCGAACCGGATAGAATTGGGGGGATTTCACCGCTGGTATGAGGAAAATTGGGGGGGGGTGTTGCTATTCAGCTTCATCTGAGTTTGTCAGAGAGATAGGCAGTAGCTCTTCCTGAAATAAAGTTTCCTGTTTCAGTAATGTCCTTTTATTGTGTATTATTAGTGCAGCCCACTCACATTATTCTGTGTATTGTGGACAGCTGTTTGTACTTGAAAAAAAATGATTACCATTCATTTGTAATGGAGTTATATGGCTTCATGTTCATTGTCTAGCCACTGCTATTATTATATGAGGGCACTCGTGTGTCAAAGTAATACAGTTGGTTTTCCAGTCAAGCTACTTGTCCTCATAAAAAATAATGAAGGATATCAAAGTGTTCAATTTTATAACTAGGCAAAGAACCAGGGTGTTTGTGGGACCGCCACTCTCTGAGACTATCTGCCTGCTACATTAGACTAGATAGGATGGGCACATTCCAGATTTTGTTCTTTAAGTGTTGTCATCTAGTGAGACCCAGAAACTTTTTCTGTATCAGCCCTTGACTGTGGAGCTCCCTTCCCTTCCCCCTGGGATTCAGCCTTTTTAACCTTCTGGAAAGCTGTAAAGGACTGGCTTCTCCCCCAGGCATGGGGATAAGGTAAGGTTGGAACTCAAGGATTGTATGGATTGATGGTGCATCAGGCACCTGGTGTTCTTGTTTCCCCCCTCCCTAATTTTTGGTTTTATTGCTGTGAGCTGCCCAGAGGCACCTTTTAAAATATGGGCAATCCTATAAGTCAAATCAATCAAGTCTGAGACACAGTAGAGCCACACAAAAAGCTTCATAATTCAACTAGAGTTTGGAACTTATATTTAGAATGATTTTATATAGAAGGGCAGTAGTGATGATTCCCAGAATTAGAGACTTCTCTTGAAACCTGTCTTGATGATGCAGGAATACATGAATCAAATATTTATTGTCATAGGCCAGGATAAGGAGAATGGAATACAGACAATTAGTTAAAAAAAAAACCCTAAAAGATATAAAAAGTATGTATAATAATAAATATACCATCATACGGAGAGTGAGGTACACAGGATTAAATAGCATAGAAAATACATCAAAGTTTAATTTTTTAAAAAGCTAAAAGATAAAGTCTACGTTAAAACAAAAATCTAAAAAAATTGAGGGGGTGGAGTTAAAAAAAAGTTAGCATATGGCAAACTAAATCTATCACAACATAAAGCACTTTTAAATAATGAACTAAATGCATATTAAGTCTAGTTTATGGACAGGGGTAGGTCAAGATCTGATGGATTTTAAGTACTGCTGCACAGAATCTGGCAACATTATATCTTGTAGCCAGATTAGTATCTGCAAGCATCAAGGAGGTATAGAATTGTCCTGTGTGCCCTGGGATGGATGGATGGATGGATGGATGGATTTATTTATTTGTTTGTTTGTTTGTTTGTTTGTTTGTTTGTTTGTTTATTTATTTATTTCCTGCCTTTGTTATATTTACAAATAACTGAAGGCAGCAAACATATCCATCTTCTCCTCCTATTTTCCCCAGAGCAACAACCATATGAGGTGGGTTGGCTGAGAGAGATTGACTGGACCAAAGTCACCTAGTTGGCTTCCATGGTTAAGATGGAACTTAAACTTATGGTCTCCCACTTTCTAGCCCAATGTCTTAATCACTAGACCAAATTGGCTCTCGGGTAATATATATACAGTAATGGGGAGCTGACTACAAATGTCTTTGTAATATAGCATTGAAGAAATGCTGTTTCTGTGTGTCCATAGTCAAAGAGGCATTGACTCTACCGGTAGGGAATCTTCCTGTATTGGCCCTTTAAGGGCAGCTGAAGGGAGGGCATAACATTGTGCCAGAATAAAGGCTCTCTAGTGGTTAGGTATTTGAGGTTAAGTATGCCATGCGGGAGACAGAATGTTTGAGTTTACTGTCAATAAATGTTGGGGACCTGACTGGATCCATCTAGCATTCTCTGTGTGCTGTTTAATGAGTGTTTTGGCTTGATCATATCCTATGATAAGTAAAAGACCTGGAGAGAAGCCCAGGGATGAGATTTTAGTAGCCGCTGCCTTTCTTCCATGTAGACTGAAAATTATCCTTCATAGTTAATGGGGCAAGGCAAAGAGGGAAAAAATAGGGTTTTTTAATAGCCAATTATTAGCCATATTCAAGCTAATAATTGTATGTGGTCACCCACTTCCTAGCCTCCACAGCACCAACACTCTGATCTTCAGTGTATATACATTGTAGTTTATGCTTCCATCTTGTATGGGTGGATTGAAGAAGAGTATAGACTTCATGCTGTATTGAATAGCTGAGATATTTGACTTTGTACTTAACATTTCTGATAGTGGTGAGCTATCAGCAGAGGAGGTATTGGATTAGTCTATATTGACTTGAAGTTGTCTGTTTATATAGTAGGCAGAGAGTAGATATCAGACATGTGGAAGAAGGACATGAGTGCAATTCCTAAGAATAAAAAAAATATACTGATGGCTTATTGGATTTCTCTTTGTGAATTAAGTCAATAACAAAACGTGTGAACAAAACCTGTGTTTGGGTGGAGGAAGAGAACTTCCTTTATATTCCTCAAAAGAAAACTGTCCTTGGCTCAAAATGTTAAATTCCTAGGTATACTTTTGTTTCTTCAACATCTTTTTTTTTGTTGTTACTTTTGTTAAATTATCCTTTCATCCTCTTTATGTTGTGCCAAAGCAGATGTTGGTAGCTCCTGTGCTTTCCCCAGTGCCTGACTGAGGAAGTGGTGGACGTCTGTAGCTGGTATATTTCAAGGTGGTATGGAGGACACGTGGGCTTGGCTGCTTGTTTTTGTTCTGTGCCTTTCGTGGAATGCAGTGTGTTTGCCTTTCTTGGCCTGTGGTTTAAGCCTGCATTCCTGTGTATAGAGTCAGCATGGCGGCAGGCGGCGTGCTGTTCATGCCCTACAGCTACATGGTTTCAGCTCCACATCAAAGGTGTGTTCAGTGCGTAGCTTGTGCCATTCCTGGCCACACCTGGTGGCCTGCAGGCACGCAAGTAGGAGGGCTCAGAGATGCAGTTGCAGACTACGATGTTTAAACTCAGGCTTCTCCATACTTGTGAAATCAGGGGAGTTGAATTTACGCTAAACAACCAAAACAGGTCAAACTCGGTAGGAAGAAACAGTCTCTCTAAAGGCCAGCCCAATAAGCAATATCACCTACTACCTCTAGCGCAAAAAGAAATAGTGTTTCTTTAATAGACTAAGATCATTTGAGGAGACTTGTCTTCCATGCATCTGTCATATTATTAGTCAGGTGCCTGCTGATGGATTATCTGCTACATTTCTCAAACGGTACCCTGTGCAAAATTATGTTGAAATAGGATGCATTCTGACAGTAGGAATATTTTGCATATCAAGAGAATGACATAATTCCTTGCTTCAGATGTTTGGGTCTTGTCAGGCTACATAATAGAAGAAGATCATGACATCCCATGGAGCTGTTTGTAGAATGGGAGAGGGGGTTGTCGTTTCCTGAAATGTTATTCTCAGCTAAGTTTCTTTCCTTATATTTTTGTTTTAATAGATTGATATACCAAACATAATTTACTGTACTTAAAATCAAATACGTTATCTAAAATTAAATACATGCATTTTAACATTTTGGAAGTGCTTGCTATCTCTTAAAAAGTGGCCACTTTCTTCTCTTAACAAAGGCCTTCTTGTGTTTGGTATAGAATGGTAGACCACATAACTGTGATCAAGATTGATATCTGTGTCAAGATTTACAGAGACTGTAACCTAATCATTTCTACTAACATCCACCAGTGTTATTTGTGCCACAGGTGAATTTAAAGTGATGGAAGTTAGGATCATTGTGCAATATAAATAGCTTGTGTGGGATTATAATGTAATTTGATATAAGAAATATTTTTGAAGCTGTATATAGAACTGTGTGTAAGATGCCTGCTGGTTAATACCCGAAAGAGTGGATCCAGGGTTTCTACTGGGGTTGTAAGATTTCTGGATATGCTTGTAGACTGTCTGTGTTTTAATGTATAACAAAGTAAAATGGTATCTGTGTGTTCTCTGTTCTCCTTGACACACTCTGTCTTGCTTGGGATGATGATAAATTATGCAGAAATTAATGAAACCATCTTTTTAGGTTGATTTATTAATAATGAGTGGCTAGAGGCTTGATCTATATAAAACTGCCTTCATACGTATGAATCCATGTGACAATAGCATTGCTTTTTTGCTAGTACTAAAGCACCCTCTCCTGGGGAAAAATTAATATTACAGATCTATTTCATTGCCAGCACAAATTGGTTAACATGGGATCAAACTACATATTATGGGCAGTTTTGTGTACTTCTGTGTCTTTTTAAAAACCCTGCAAAATAACCATTGAAGCTGCCATCAGGCCACATAGCACCCTCCAGCTCACCATAGATAAACAATCATCTTTTTTTCTGTTAAGGACATTTACTATCTTCTTCTGTTTCTTATTACTGCTTCAAATACTACTTTTAAGTTTAAAGAATAGTTGCAAATAGGCAGGCAGCTGCCTGCAATTTAAGTGGATTTTCATATGTTTAGCACAGCTGATCTTCACTAGCTCAAAAAAAAAAATAGTTATTGTAATCATAGTTCGATTTTTGTCATGTGCTATATTGTAAAGTCAAGCTCTATAGCTAGTGTAAGTATTGGAATTAGAGTGTAAGTGCCATTATCACATCTTGCCTTATAAAATATGTCCAGAATTCATAGGACTGTCTTGTACTGCCTTATGTCAACTTTGTGCTGACATATAAGTAATCTACTACTTTTTTTTTCTCCTAGGCTGTGAGTTCTCTGTGTGAAGACTGCTATTAAAACCAGTAAGTACAGGCTTACTCAACAATTTCAGTGAATATTAAATTTATCTGGTGGTGGTTTTTGTATGTTATGCAGCATTATTACTGTCAAAATTGTCTCAAGAAAGTTTTTCAGGAATAGAGAATCATTTATCTAGTTTTCACATAACTGTAAAGAGGGTTTGTTTTGCCAAATTGTGTTAAAACAAATGCATGACTAAAACTTTGAGGTAGACTTGGGATTTGAGCCATTTTGGGGATTTATTACTGATAGAGCAATGTTTCTCAATCTTGGCAACTTTAGGATGTGTGGATGTCAACTCCCAGAATTCCCCAGTCAACATGCAGTCACATGAAAGAAAATGGAATCATGGATTGCATGATTTTTCGCTCTGTAGACTGGGAATTGAACTTTTGAGGGTTCCTTGCTCCGTCATAGTTTTTCTCAACTTTAGCAACTTTAAGATATGTGGGCTTCAACTGATACTTGCCAGCTTACTTTATAGGAATATCTTATGTTTTGAAAAAACTGTAAATAAGTTGAACTTTTGCTTCTCAAGCTGGCCATAATTAAATTGGGTAACATCTTTTATAAATTTTTGCTGTAAAGATTGCCTCTGTTTGTAACCGGTTAGCCAGCTGTATAACTTCCTGTTGTTGCATGTTTTCCCCCCCGTAGTTTTGCAGCAACATGATGAACCTTTTTTTGGAGGCACATATGTTGTTTTTGGAAACAGAGTGCATGTGCTTTTGCATGTGTTCTTAGCATTTATAAAGGGCTTCGGGATGGAGAGTGCTGAAGAAATCTTAAACAATAATTCTTAGGGAAATAAAATGCTTCTTAGAACTGGGAAGAACCAAAGATGGGACACAAAAGAGCTGCCCAGAGTCACTTTCAGTGGGAAGATGGGCAGCATATAAATTTAACAAATAAATAAACATAGTCAGTTCAGAAATGCTTTTAAAAGAATCTTCATTTGCAAGCAGCTTTGTATAGTTTCTTTTAAATGATAAATTTAATAACTATTCAATAAGATTTAAGAAATTTCTATTTGTATATTCTTTTTTTAATAGTCTCATCTCTTTAGCTAGGCTCCCATAGGTAACTAATTATTTAAATGTTGTGTAATGATTATTAAATATTCTGAAATGTTGTCATAATTCCCAGAAAGCAGTCTAATGGGGGTTAAATCCAGAAGAGAGGAAAATCTATACAGTAGACCGCAGCACAACTATATTAATTTATCTATTTGCAGCATATAGCTAAGAGTATGAAAACTAAAAGCAATTAAAGTAGTTCTTAAATTTTGATTTTTAATCTGAAGTTTAAACTATATACTAAAGTTTACATTATATTTTGAGAAGGCAGCCCTCTTTAAAGTATTAAATGTGTCTTCTGTAATCTTTAGCCTGAACTAAGGCAACTGTTTGGGCAATCAATTGCAAATTTAAGCTTTATAAACTTATTTTGAAATCCATTCATATGGCAAGAATTAGTAGCCCCATTCTGAAAGTCTCTGCTCATTTTATTGCAAATCAAGTTGAACTGCCCTGATTGTTGCCAGAATCATGAGGTAGTAAACTGATGAAAATATTTGCATAATTGTTATTTATTATAGATATCGCACTCTAAAAGATGCTGGGCAGTTTATAACAGCCTACATATAGCTTAAAACAATTAAAAACATAACCACAAAATATATAATAGCTTGGACACAAGCAGCCATTAACAGTAAAAAAAATAAAAATAAAAAGCTCCACTAAACACACGAAACCCAGGCCTGGAAACAATGATATTTGGATAGGTTTTGTCCCAAGGCTAAATTTTTTTCAAGGGAAACAGTCTATAAAAGAAAGCTAAGATTCTTGTCAGTAGCATGGTCATCAACTTTCAGGTCTACCTGGATTTTTTTTTAAAAAATTCGATGATAATTTCAGAGTTCCAATAATACCCTGTCGAATTGTAGCTTGCGGGTTCTGTTTAGCTCTCCCTGGAAAATATGAATTAGAGTAGTTCTAATTCCTGCAAGTTATTATAATTCTTTGTGTGTCAGGCTGATTAGTAACTCATGCAGAATTTCATTTCTCAAGTTTCAGGAGCCTTCAGCCAGATGCTGTTGGATGCAGTTAGGAGACTACTTTCGAGGTCATGTGGACAAACATGTTTGGACAGGACATTACTTTAGGTCTGTAAATATCTTTCTTTTATGAGAGGCCTATTCAGGGATTTTATAACTTTTTGTACTGATCTTACAATTGTGCCCCAAAAGCTTTATTTTGGATGGGATTGGTGAAGTAGAACTAAAGCAAAAAATTGTTTAGTATGACAAGCAAGATCAGTTCAATCAAATGATAGATAAGTAAATTCCAGGAAGTTGATGAGGGTTTATTACTCCAGCTCTCAGTAAACATAGATCAGATCTTTGTGGTACAGTAGAGCAATTTAAAGGGATTACTACAAAACTTTTTAAAAGGTAATAAGTATCAAAGATTGCTAGTGAATAGGGTCTTTGAGGGGGTTTTTTGGTTGCTATTTTTGATTTAAATCCTGTAACTTGAGAATCCTTTGTCAAGTGAGAAAATTTGGAATATTTTTTCTCACTGTTATAATATAAATATATATATATATAAATATTTATAAAAATATAAAAAAATATTTTCTCATTATTAAATATGGTAGATAGGTAGGTAGGTAGATAGGTAGATAGACAGATTGATCACACACATTTTATATATGCATAATTTCCAGCATTTGTTGCTATATAATCCAGAAAGGTTATGCAGGGCTTGATCATTGGAAATAATAATAACCTCCCTTGGGCTTCAAGGAATCCTTTTCAGGAATCCAAACTTCATCCCTTATCTTTAATAACACTACCCTAGGCAAGGTATTTACAAATGCATTAAAACTGATTGCAGAGAAATTCAACAAACGAATAAGGCAACTGCACCAGTGTTACAGGGAAACACCAGCACTAGAGAAGAAACTTAACACAATTCAATGTTTTAAACTATTTGGGAAAATAGCAGGTCCTTTGCCAGGCACTGAAATGACAGATGAAACCAAAGAAGCACTAGAAGAAAGCACTTTCTGTGATTGCTTATTCCCTAAACCGAGAAGGAAAAAGAATCCCCCAAAGGGCCTCAGATTAAAATATTTTTAAATGTTTAATATTATATATATGTAACAGTAAAAAAAATAGGTAAGTTGTTCTACATGGACACTTCCATGTTTCTTATGGGAACTGATGCAAAGATGCTCTTTTTCTGTTTATCGAAGGTCTGCCTATAGATATACATTAGAAGGGTTTTTTATAATCCCCCAAAATGTTGCCTTGAGGTTGTTGAATTATGATGACAAAAGTAGTAACTTTCTTTCCATTAATGCTATTCTCTCAGTGCAATTCCTTAATGGAATAATTCACCTCATAGTATTTCCAACACGTAGCAGTTTTTATATATGCTGCTCTTAGCATAAAACACACTAGGTTCATACACATTATAAAATTGTTAAAACATCAAGGGGTGGTGATAATGCTGCAATGCCCTGAACATCCTGGCCTATAATGCCTGAGATTATATTCTGTACTTGATCCCCAGATTGCTATATTTCAGGACATTTAAGCCACATATGTAAATATAAATCCCCTTTCCAATGCAGGAGAGACATGATAGAATATATAGTGTAATAGTGGAGACGATATCATTGACTAATATTTTTGATTGCATAATTCTTCCTGCTTTTTTAAAATTTGGATTTATAAGGAGGGAGGTGTAGAACCATATATTTTTCCGAAGGTGAATTTAAATGTCCCTGCCCTAATTTATTTCCCATATGCTTTTAGATTAGATACTATTCTGTACTGTGTTTCCACTTGTATATTATAGATACCTGGCCTTTGGCTCCTTTTGAAAGAAAGACACAACAAATCTCAAAGATATTTGGCATTTTGTCCTGAATTATTATTTTTAGGGAAAAACTGTTCATATTTCTTTTGAATCAATGTACTTGTTTGTAGTAGGTCATTCAGTTTTTCCCCACTGACAAATTTATGATACTCATTTGAGTCATCAGAAAAGGATGCTGTACAGATGCAGTCATGTATAAGTAAGGTGAACAATATTTTTGCCCATGGGCACCAAGCCTATGGAAAAGCCATATAAAGTGGACTGTGAATTATGACCTATTTATTTAATGGAAACAAATTGTTTTGTAAGAAGCTGTTCTCAAAGAAAATTAGAGATTTTGAATTCCTTAGTTTTAATAGCTTAATGTCATTTTTACTTTTTATTTTTATAAATTTAGATTTTTTTTTTATTATAGTGCCTACATTTTTTTATTTTTTCCATTTTATTAAGTTAGGGTGTTTGTCAGCATTTGAAATAAGACAACAGGTGGTGATTTAGAGGATAGTGTCTAATCAAGAAGTAGTGACTTAATTTCCTCCCCTAGTTTCTTACTATTTTAATTCTTTGAATTACATGATAATATATTTCTGCATTTCAGATTTATTTTTAAATCAATGCATCCAAAATATTTAAGATTAAAAAGTCTAAATTGTGTAAGGGGACAAAAATGTTAACCCTTTCCTGTATCTCCAACCAAATACTTAATTTAAAATATCCTGTTTCCTGAGTTTTTATATAAACCTAATTACTCGTGGAAGTATCCAACAGCTCTCAGATTTACTTGACAAAGAGATGGGTAGCATAAATTTAATAAATATATTTTTTTTAAATTAGAGGGGTTAAAAGCCTTAAATATGAAAAGCAATTAATTAGGCATCCGTCAGAACCCTGACAATATGTATGGTTAATTTGTTTTTGTGTTGATTATTTTTTATCTTATTTCTTTTTATTTTGAGGGTTGCTTTTATTAAACTAGCTAGTGATTCAGTTGGAAGAAAAATAATCCCTTTCTTTATTCCCCTAAACAGACTAAACTTTTTGATGTCATGTTATTTCCCTAAACAATGGCTTTTGATCTGTTTATATTTGAATTAAGTACACTCATAAAGGATTTTCAGAACGTAGCTTTTTATAGCAATAACATCAGCTTAAGTAATCAAAAGCTTTGAAAGCATACAGTATTAACAAGAATACAAACATTTTCTTTTGACTACAAAAGTAAATCGTATTTAATGTTCTTTTTGCAAAAATTATATGATGAATCCTGACATGACCTTTATATATAATTTGTGATTATTCTCTTTGCCTTATAAAGTCATTTCCATTTTAGTTCAACAAGACTATTTTTTTCTAATGTTTAATAAGACTGTTGATATATATAAGAATTATACCAGGAATGGCTTTTTGGTACATCTCTGCTGAGCTGTAAAATTAATTGGCAGCATTTTGATTGGCAGATATCATGGACTGGCTTGAATTATTGAACAAACAATAAGCAAACAAATACACCTTATTTAAAAGAAAATAAAGATCACTCCTCAGTGAAATAAATTCCCTGTCTACCACATACTATAGAATATAGGGTAGTCCTTCAGCAATCTGGTTTAAATTAGCAGAATGGGAAAATGGTGCTATGTGTTGCTATTTTGCTTAGTTTAAATGATAAGAATGAAATATAGTAATGGTACCTTGATGATATAACAGAATAACCAAGATTATATTTCTTTTCTCCTAGAACCAACTTAAGTAGGATTAAAACCATTGCATTAAATTTAAAGTTAAAAGAAAAACCAAATACCATGCCAAATGCACTAATTGACCAATCATTTTGTTATTTGTACAATAAAAACCATACAATTAGCCCTACTATCAACCTATTTAGTATATATTTAAAATAAACTTCAGTGGAGGCTAACTTGTTTCCCTATGGTAGATAGGCTGGGAAATCCACCAACTATTAGAAGAGGCTCCACTGGGCACTGCAGAGATAATGGTGATAAATAATGTAATATTAGTGGAAATCATCTCTTGGAGCACAGGTTTGATAATAAACTTCAACACATTGGCTTTTGCTTGGGATTTTCCTACCAGTTGCATTTACTTTGTTTCCAGGCATTTCCGTAATAAATCAAGGAGTTAATAATCATAATCAAATGGCTTTTCACAATGTTTTTTTAAGATGTGCTAATAAATAATTAGGAATTATGTGTATTCTATTAATCTTGAGGGCTATTCACAGCATGGAGTACAAAAAATCCTGGCGGATATAAATGGAGAAGGAATTAACCAGGACAGGTCTTATATTTGCTTTCCTCCTCATACATAAGATAGATATCTTGTTTCATAAAAAAAAAAAAAGATATATTCAGAAAGTTTTTCTTTACTTGTATGGAATTGCAAAACACAGCAAGTCCTTTTTTGAGCTGCTTTCTCCCCAGCTGTGCTATTGTAAGATTGTTTATTCTGTACTCATTGAGGCCCAAAGAAAACACTGTAGTAAGGAAAAGGGCCAATAAACTTGTTGGGGCAAGGCCAATAGCAGGGCATCTATAAGACTTGTTTCAGCAGCTTTCTAGCCTAGTACAAGCCTTGCTGACTTCCTGTTCTATTAATTTGAAGCTTTAGATCTTTCTAGTTAATCTTTTCAGTGTCATTTGCAAATTAACCATATTTAAATTTGGAGCAAATGTTATTGATAAATAACATTTTTTATAATACAAAGTATGGCAGTTCTAAGCTACTATTTGTGCGGATTGCTTTCTAGGCCTTCGGATATTCAGCATGGAAGATGGGAGGATTGTACCTCAGAACCTCATTTTTTTAAAAAAAAAAAAAAAACACCAAGAAATGGCATCACAAGTGGTCTTTGATGGGAAACCAGTCTTTAAAACCTGGTCCATATTTTATACAATAAAATGCTTGAACACGAGCACACTGTACAAACTACCCCCCCTCCCCAAACAAATAAAAAAGTTTGAAAATGAAATCTTTACTTAGGCATCTCAGAATAGAATTTTCCTTTTTCACTGGTTATATTCATGACTGGATGTAATTTGGTCTCAATCACAGCTTAATTTTTAAGATATTTCCTTATCTTCCACTTGTAACAAACAGTAACATTTGCAAACTGAAAGAGCCCCTAGAGTCCTATTTGGATCACAGAATATTTCCAATTATGGATAAAGTACTTTAGATCAGAAGCTGTTCTGCAACTTCAGTGTTGGGAGTGCTTTAAAATGACAGAAGTTGCAGGTTCCTCAAGCTGAAGTATTTGTAGTAGAGGAGGTATTCATCATAAATTGGTTGTCTTCCCCCCCCACCCCCAACTCTTAGATCCTTGGATTGAGTGCCTTTTTCAGACTTCAGATCAGAACCCAGATTGGTAGGTATTTCAGTATATCCATTACATAGCTATGGGCATTGCCTGTAAGTCTCATATAGCCTGAGGACTGCACCTCTCTACATAAGATTCCATTTCAGTTATTTCTTCAAGGAGGCTTTATGTAGTTCCTGATATTTGGGAGATGAACCAAAGAAGCTACGTTATGCTAGATCAGAGTATTTGTTCAGCTAACTCAGAGCCGTCTTGTTTCCAGTATTGTCTGTACTAATTTCAACTATTCCAGTACTGTATTTCCTATCATGGGCGGCTGATCCTTTAAACGGGTGAGTGCGTCATAGACTAAAAGTATGTGATCTTATTACTGAACCAGGATCCTTCCTACTATGCAAAATATTGACATAGAGAAAGGCTTTCTCAAGACAAGATTCAGATACCAAGGGTTATCACTTTTGTGACTCCCATAATGCAAATTGTTGCTAAGTTTTAGAAAAACGATAGGTACAAGACAAGTTCTCCGGAAGAAGGGAAACAACAGTCAGGCTGGGTATGACTCCTCTATGCAGAATGGGATCGAGTCTGTCAAATTTGAATAGCTCTGCCCTCTTGGCCAGTGTTTCGACTCGGTCTATGCTGAATAGACGTGTCTTCCAGTATGGATCATCAGCTTACTAGTTTTCTCTCAGAGGTTGCTGCTAAGTCCAGTTTTCCTATGGTTATATGGTTACAGTAAAATATTGTTTCTAATATGCAGTAGCATATTTTGATTTATACAGTAGGATATTTATTGAATCAGGGACAGAAGAAATAATATGGCTTCATTCACAATTTTGTTTCATTTGGAAGAGGCTGGGTGCTATACAGAGTGAAATTTCTTGGAGATTCTGTGTTCCTCCCCATATCCTTCTTTACCTCTTGGTCTGCTTTAACCAAGCATTGCAACATGCTAGTTCTTGAGGATTGCAAAGCCCCTTATGAGTACTAGATCTTATTGCATTGTTGGCTCAAGGACATGCATTCCTTGTACAGGAGGAAATAGACAAGAAACTGCTTGCTTGCAAAGGAGATAAGCTCCTTTCTGCAAAGTGTTGTCTGATTTACTATATTTGTTTTTTTTTTCCAGCCTCTTCTGACCTTACTGATCTTTGCTATGAGCATTCCTTGTCAGTTTCTTACAATGCTTTGCATTGTTTTTACAAGATAGGTATGTCAATCTTATTAATCATATTTGTGCTATTAATATCTACCTTAGTATGAACTGATATAAGTGAGTTCTGCTTGCAGTTGTTGTCAATAGACAATTCTGTATTGATCCTGGATGATGATAGTACACACAATAGCATACTATGTACCCTTTAAATGAAATATAGATATACTGTAGATAAAGTTAGAGATAGGCTACTACACCCTTGAATTCTCTGGGGAGATTATCATGGTCATACTGGTTTGAAGCCAGCCAGCCTGGTTTCCAAAAGGGGTTAGACACACCTTGTCTGTATATAATACGTTTTCTGGTTTTTAAATGTTTGCTATATTATAATAGAGTAGAGTAGAGTAGAGTAGAGTAGAGTAGAGTAGAGTAGAGTAGAATAGAATAGAATAGAAATAGAATAGAATAGAATAGAATAGAATAGAATAGAATAGAATAGAATTCTTTATTGGCCAAGTGTGATTGCACACACAAGGAATTTGTCTTAGGTGTATATGCCCTCAGTGTACATAAGGAGAATAAAATACATTCATCAAGAATAAAAAGATACAACACTTAGTGATAATCAAGTTATCAAGCTTATCTAGTCAAGCTAATAAGCTATCAAATTGTACTAGGAAACAAAAATAATATAATTGAAAGGTACAAGCAACATGGTTTTAGTAATGTGGGAAGAGATAGATACTAGTAAGGAAGAGAAAAATAATAGTAATACAGTTTTAGTAAATTATTTGACAGTGTTGTGGGAATTAGTTGTTAAGCAGAGTGATGGCATTCAGGAAAAAATTGTCCCTGTGTCTAGTTGTTTTGGTGTGCAGAGCTCTATAGCGTCGTTTTGAAGGTAGGAGTTGAAACAGTTTATGTCCAGGATCTGAATGGTCTGTAGATATTTTCACAGCCCTCTTTTTGACTTGTGCAGTATACAGATCCTCAATGGAAGGCAGGTTGGTAGCAATGGTTTTTTTCTGCAGTTCTAATTATCCGTTGAAGTCTTGTGTTTGTCTTGTTTGGTTGCAGAGCCAAACCAGGCAGTTATGGAGGTGCAGATGACAGACTCAATAATTCCTCTGTAGAACTGAATCAGCACTTATTTTTAGTGCATTTTATGGATGCAGAACTATTTTTATTATATTTGTTGGTTACTACTCTGAAGTCTATTGTAATGAATAGCCAAGTTCAATTTTAGAAATGCTTGCATTTTCCATTTAGGATCTGTCTTTGGCTTTGCCCTTGGCTTTTGAGGAAGCATTAATAGCGGATGTTTCTTTGGGCTGTTTGTGTCCTTCTCTCATTCAAATATAATTTGCCTTTAATTAATTCAAGCTCACAACTATTCCAGCTTGTCTTATATTTCATATCTGCAGTTTATTCTCTGTTGTCACTGTTGGGTCTGACAGCATTAGATCAATAGCTCTTGTCTAGTTTGTCACTGTTGCCTGTAACGTTTTTGGCCTTTCCTAAAGAGCCCAATCAATATTTTGCTCCAAGGTTTGTTCTCATATGCTATATATAATCTGGACACATGCCGTGTGTGTGTGTGTGTGTGTGTGTGTGTGTGTGTGTGTGTATGATTGTATATATCACACGCAGTGAGAGGATGAACCTGCTTTTGCTCTCACTAGCTGGGCTGACACCGCTGTGTTTTTTCTTCTGCTCTTTCTTTATACTGCAGTTACTATTCCCACACTCTGGCCTGCTTCTTTTCTCTGTTCTCGGATTATATGGCTATTGTGAGTCAGCAGATTTTTGATTGTCTCGTGAAAACATACTTGGCTTTTGGGGGCATCTATGACTCTTTTTTTTGTGATTTCTGCTGTTGGCAGGTGACCTGTGGTGAAAATCAAGCAAGAAGGACAATGACAAGCACAGTACCTTCCAAGAAGCCTTACCGTAAGGCTCCACCACAACATCGTGAGATTCATCATGAGCTGCCCATTCTGTGTGATGAATATGATGGTGTGATTTTGGCAGAGCAGAATCAGGTAACTGAAATCAAGGCACTTAAGGATCTGGTGTATCTGCAGAAGGGGTTCAGCTGTATCAGGACAGATAACCTTAAACATCAGGTGGATGGGTATGATGAGGTTTGCAATGTTAACTTTCCTTCCTTGTCTTTGGAGTCAAGTAGTGACCAGAAAGTAGCAGGATGCCAAGCAGAGCTAAACCTGAAAAGTTTTAATCTATCTTCTGCCGTACTTCCCAGTTGGAATGTAGAGAAACAGAGTATGAAGTACTCTCAGCATCCTAGCCAAAGGTGGCTCAGTAAGTTCATGAGCCAGAGTGGGGAGACGTTAATGGCTTCTGGAGATGAAGGCCAAAAGCCAGTCTGCTCCTTCAAAAGTAGAAGTTCTCTTATGTTCAAAGAACCGGCTGAGGTATTGGCACCAAGGAAATTCCATATTCCAACCACTCACCTACCTCTCAAAGGCATCTTGAAGCAGACAAAGATGCTGAATGTGCAGCCTCAAAGCTTGGGAATATCCAACTCAGTAGAAACCCTGACCCAAAGCCACCAATCACAACAGTATAATGACCCTCGTTTTTGCGTCAAGAGACATGACAGGCATGCATCAGAATGTCATAATATTAGCTCTTCAGAGTTTATCCAACGAAAGGCCAAAAAAAGACAAGAGAAGCTCCAGTTCTCAAAATTCCTGGATGAGATCACCCACAGAGTCCTGAGTCCTGTCTATTTGGCTGAAGATAGTGAAGAAGAAAGAATCCAGAAGTCTTTTACAGTTTCCAAATGTTCCACACGAAAAGGGCAGAAGGAAAGCCTGCTTGAGGGCACTAAGCAGATTGCTAAGAAAAGCCCTTGCCTAGTTAAGAGAAGAGAAGAATGGCGGCGAGAGGGCCTTGAAATAATATTCTGCCATAGGAAGACTCCAGAGGAGATGGACAGGACATCTAGACACAGGAGAAAGCTTGCTCTATTGAGGAAGGTCAGCACAGAGAAGCTTCGCTCTATGGAGAAACAGGTGGTGGATTTGTGTCAATATCAGTTGCAGTACCCAGTGGAATTGAGTTTGTCAACATATCTTTTAAGCAGCAGCATCTACCCTCATGGAAAATATCTTAGCAGGTGGGAGGGAAGGATACAAGGCAGGACCAAAATGAATATTTGGTATGTACTTGCAATCCACCTGGTCACATGTCATTTTAGTGGAGGTTACCTGGAGGAGAAAAAGAGCTCCTCTCCTCCCTTGTGTTGGAAACAGGAGAATGGTAGTATACCACTTAGAATTTCTCTTTCTTTCAGCTTAGCTATCAACAAGGTAGGTGCTTAGAAAGAAGGGATAAGTAACCAATTTTGCACTTAAAATACATATCTGTTGTAGCAATAAGCATTGGAAGGGAACTTCTCCTTCGTTCCTCAGTTGAGGATTTAATAGAAAGCTTTTTAGCCCTGTCTTTTGTGGAAAGAGATTATTATGCAATAAGGAAACTCAGCCCATTTGCTTAAATGGGAACCTTTCAAGTATTCAGTTAATTTATATCCCTTTATATTGAAATTTAGATTGCTTTGGTTTGTTTCTTCAAAGTATTTTTTCCACACCTTTATTGCTGTGGTCAGTTTAGAGCACCTCCTGTGCATTAATTTGAATAGTAAAGCAATAAATCCTGCTGCTGTTATTTGTTATCTGATTGCATGATTGCAAAGTGGTAGTTTAAAAGACTAAATGCATCTGCTGCAATTTACTTACTGGGTCAGACAGGCTAATAAATGCACATTTTCATCTAAGCATTGTTCTTGAGATCTTCCATTCCTTTCTCCAAGGAAAAGAATTCTTAAGTTAAATGCTTTAACAGACGATTCTGCAATTTCTGATATTAGATTTTAGAAGATATTGGGTCTTCTAAACGATGTTTTTTCTTATGTTGTTATGGTTTTGTATGTCTGCTCTTCCTCTTTCTTGCTATCTGATTGGTCACCTTTCCCTCTGATTCAAATGCTGTGTGAAAGCAAAGAATAAAAAGTGTGGAATATCTTGTTTGACAACTATATCAGTGGTGGGTTGCTACCGGTTCGCCCCAGCTTGGGCGAACCGGTAGTAGTGGTGGCGGGAGGCTCCGCCCACCCATCCGGAGGTCATCAAATATGCTCTGCGCATGTGCAGAAGTGGTGTGCACAAGCGAACCGGTAGCAAAGGTAAGTGAAACCCATCACTGAACTATATATATATGACAAATATGCCAAAAGTAGCAATGTGCAAGAAGAGAAGGAGCAATTATTCCAAAGGTGCTTTTTCAAAAGCATCTGGACTTTGTTTTTCCTTGAGGACATTTCACTTCTCATTCAAGATGCTTCTTGAGTTCTGAATGAATGGTGGAGGATGGAAGGATTTATATTTATATCCTCCACCATTCAGTCAGAATTGAAGAAACTTCTTGGATGAGAAGTGAAACTTCTTTAAGGAAAAACAAAGAAAGTCCAGTTGCTTTTTGAAAAGGCACCTTTGGGACAACCATCACCTGGATGACTGAGAATCTCCATAGACAAAAGGAGCAATTGGAAACTATGGTAGTTAAAAGTTAGAACCACTGAGGGTTTCTGATTCAAAGCTTTCCAAACCTCGAAAGATAATTATGAAGTAAAATTAAATAGAAATACCAAGCAATAGTAAGTTTTGACACTTGACCGATTGAGGATATCTGGATTCAAATGCCTATCAAACCATAACATTTAGAGGATGAATTTAGATGGTTTCATTTCCGTTGGCCTAAAATATCTTACTTTGTTGTGAGAATACCCTTTCTGTAAAACGGAGTCCATAAATAATGTTCTAGGTCCTTGATAGCAATATCATTTATCTTAATTTTTTATAGATAGGATTGCTAAAGTAATTGATTTAACACTGATTTATGGCACAATATAGCATTTTGCTAACATCCCAAAACAACAAAGTGGTACGTTGAATGTCGAATAGTTTGTGATGATAGAAGGGAATAAATAAATGTCTGGAAAGACTTAAGTCAACCTGTGTTTTGACTGAAAGAATATATTTGCCATAAAATAAATCCTAAGTACTATTTGTGTAATAAGCCTTGTGATTGAGAGATCTGATCAGAATACTCTGTTCTTAATCCAAATTGTCCTCCCTTCATAACCACAGTTGTGGCCTAATATAGGCAGTTTCTCAGAACTATTTGTGGCTTCCTCAGAAATCTGATTTTCAGGTTGGTCTTGTCCTCTGGCGTCTGCTTGCACAAGTCCCCGCAATTTTCTTTGCAAGATTTCAAATATACTTTGCCATTGCATGTTTCCTAGGGCTGAGAGAGTGATTGGCCCAACTGAGTTCAGGCAGGAGTAGAATACATAGTCTCCTGGTTTCAAGACTTGATACCTTTAACGACTATCCAAACTGGACCTTATTTTTTCCATTTAGCATTTGTATGGTTTGGTTTGATATTCTGGTAACTAGTTCGCACTTTTAATTAAACCTTGATTCTGTTTCCTTTAATTTTTTGTAGGAACCCTTGACAGATGCAGAAAGGATAAAGTAAGTATCATGATCCTTTTTTGTTCCATAGTTGTTTGTAGTACTTCTGGTTTCAGGTTATATTATCTGTGCTTATTTCCTGATGTTGTGGAATTGTGTTTTCCTCTGTTAACTTTTTAATATGCTTAAAAAGAACTAACGTATAACTGGCATAAGTGATCATTGTAGAGCTGATAATGGCTGAATTGAGCTTAAACTGCCAAGGATGCTCTTCACAGAAACCCAGCTGTAGAATTATTAAATGAAAACTCCAGTGTTATCTTCATCTTAGTGCAGCTGTAACAGGTTAGTTTAAGAACAATTTCCATTCTAAGTTTGATCATTTATTTATATGGCTTGAAAATATTATTTTATGTTGTTTTTGGAAAATTGAATGGGTAAAATATTTGCAGATGATAAGTCTGTGAAGAAGAACGCTAACAGAATTATTGACTCTTTGGGAGACTGTCTACATAGATGTAAATGTATGGACATGGCAACATCATCCTTATGCATCAGTATTTCCAAAGCCAATATATGAATCTTCACCTAGAAATTTATTTGGTGACCTAGAAGTGATAGTTCTCTTAATATGAACATTAAAGTCAAGGTAAAAATGGGATGGTTATTTTCCTTCCTGCACTGTTATTTGTTTTCCCTGAGAACACATAAATTATTGAGTGAGTTTCAACTTCCAGTGGAGGATACCTGAGCTATTTAGCCCCATCTGGCTGCTGTGCTTAATCTAAAGGCTGTAAACTAAGAAGGAGCTGCTTGCATAGATGGGTGGCCTACTTTTTAGAATTAAACTCTCTGTCTGCAGAGTAGTAGAGAAATGATGAAGCATGGAATTTTCCTTCCCTGACCAAAACAAGTTGCTCACATTTGCTGATGTTGGTGCCCAGATGGGCTTACTCCTTAAAACAATATTGTGGGCGTCTTCATTCTGTGCATTAGATTCACCTAATCTTGCATACCCTTTTTGATCCCAGATTTATCCCAAATTCCTTTCATTTTATTTTCTGGTCTGATAACATGCTAGGAATTTTGAAAAACTATCTTCAGCACTACCCAAATGGCAATAGCAATAGTGCTTAGTCTTATATATCACCCCTTAGTGCTTTACAACCCTCTCTAAGAGATTTACAGAGTCAGCATATTGTCCCCAACAATATACTTATACTTTTGCATTTCACAAGTAACATTTTAGGAATTCCCTCCCTCCCCTCCCTTTCTTTCTCTCTCACACACAAACACTCCTACATCTTTAACCATCACAGACATGCCAATATAGTATTCCACTGACTACTTGCCTTCTGACTTTCTTAGATTAAATAAATCTAATATCAGTACCTGGGAAATTTTTGGGCAGATACTAAAGCAGGATATTTGTAACCATTTCAAATACAACACTGTGCTTGCTAAGCCAAGCTTTTTATAAAAATAGGTCATGTGAGACAGACCTCATCTCATTTGCAAGTCAATTATTTTAGCTATCCATGCTGTGGATATAGCCTGCCTCGATTCCAGCAAAGCTTTTGACAAGATTCCACATGGCATTCTCCTTGACAAGTATTAAAGTATAATTTGGATAGCACCACAGTAAGATTGGTCTACAGCAGATGGCCAGCTGTGCTCAGGCAATCAGCATGAACGGTTCTATATCATGTTACAAAGCAGTAACTACTGGAATCTGTCTTACAGACAGTATTATTTGGCATTGTTATAGAAATCTGGATAATGAGATTGATGGGCTGCTTACTAAATTTGTAGAGGACACAAAATTGGAAGATCTGGCTAAAATCTTAGGTGACAGAACAAGATTGCAGTCTAATTTGAACAAATTAGAAGGCTGGACTGAAAAGAAGCAAGTTGTTCTTCAAAAGGGAAAAATGTAAGTTGTTATATTTAGGGAGGAAAAATACATGGCACGCCTAAAAGATGAGTATTCTTGGCTTGAAAGTGCCATAAATGGAGAATGACTTGTGTGTATTCATTGTCAACAAGCTAACATAAGTTAGTGTGAGATAATTGTACGAAGAGCATTATATCAAAGATGTGTGACGTCCCTATTCCCCTCTATTACACACTGGTGAGTCCACATATATAATTTTGGGACCACATTTCCAGAACGTTGCAGGGGCTTCATCATTGGATGTTTTAAAAAAAGACTGGACAGCTACCTATGTAAAACGGTATAGGAACTCCTTGAGAAGGGGGTTGGACTAGAAGACCTCCAAGGTCCCTTCCAGCTTTATTCTGATTGATTGATTGATTGATTGATTGATAATTTAGAACAGATTCAGAGGGAGGTGACAAAAATGATAGAGAAACTAGAGCACAGACTGAAGGAACCTTGGATGTTCAACCAGAAAGAAAAAAGACTGAAGCGAGATATTAAAAAGGTGGTATAGTTAAGATAAGATAGGTAAGGTAGAGGACAGGAAGGTCTGGAGGAATGTTATCCATGGGGTCGTGATGGATCGGACACAACTTTGCAACTAACAATGACAACATAGATAAGATAATCAGGTACTATTTTCCATTGTCACAGAAATGGAAACCAAAAATAATGGTTACAGGTTTCAGCCTCTTGAAATTTGCTTAAATAAAAGGATAAACTTTTTGGTAGTAAGATCTGAACAGCAGTGGAATATTTTTCCTATGGAGGTGGTGGGTTTTCTATCCCTGGTTAGATTTTTAAGAGGAAGCTGCTTCTTGAGGGTAATTTAATTGTTTTTCATGCATTTTGCAGACAGTTGATTCTGTGATTCCTTTCCTGGCTTACCAAATGATGGTTTTTGAGAATCCTGTACAGGAAAATTTGAACTTGAAGCTATCCATTTTCTGTCCACAGAACTTGTGGATATTATGCAGAAGTGACGGTGATTTGGGTGTCTATGTGTATGAGTTATAATTAGCCAATTGTTTTAAGCAAATTTTCAGATTATAAAGCTCATTTGTTCACTTTGCAACTAAATTAGGTGACAATTGAAGCTATGTTTTTTGCATTTATCTTGTTTTATCTTTCCAGATTCCAGGAATGAAATTGAACTTTGTTCAGAGGCACATTGCTATATCGGCAGCAAAGTTTCCTGTAGTGTAATTGGAAATAAGTTGCTGCTTTTTGTACCTTAGGTTGTTGCAGCGTGACAATGAAGAGCTGCGTCGACGTCTGGCCTATGTCACCAACAAAATGGAAGCAATGGAGAGGGAGTTGGAGTCTGGGCAAGACTACCTGGAGATGGAATTGGGCCAAAATCGAGAAGAGCTAGAAAAATTTAAAGACAAATTCCGTAGGTATGTGACTTTTAGAACATCAGGTGGGGAGGAGGAGAGGAGAGAAAAGCAGTCCAGTTTGTTAATTGGTAGGGTTTAGCTTGTTCTGCAATATATTTTACCCTACTCTGCCATTTATAGAAATACTGCAAATGAAGTCAGGGAAACCTTGGGCTTTCCGGGTGGTTGTTCAGTTACAACTCCTAATAGCTCCTGGCTGCTATTCTTCATCATAGTTGTTTGATAACATCTGGAAAGCCAAAGACTATATTCTCTTGTAGATCATTATGTACAGGGAAATTGTTCTATATGAAATGTGTGTCCTGAGGCATGCAGACACCACTTACAAAGCTGGATTTTTTTCCCCTTTATCATTTTGGCTTGCTATTGGATAGCTTAGTGTTATGTAAGATCTATAGATTTACAGAGCTATATTGTAATTACTACATAGAGATTCTTTGGTCAGGCTTTTTAATACTTTGGTTAATAACTGAAGACAGTCATAGAGAGCCGGAAACAGAGAAGGAAATGAGCTTTACTGAATATTGTGAAAGACATGTGCCCAATCCAAATGTTTCCCCATGAGTCCCCAAGATGATGGCTACATTGGCTGCATTGTCTCAATTGACACTGAATCTTGAAATCAGTAATACTGCTGAGATATATCACATTTTATTTCCATTATCTAGATCACTGTACCTCAACCTTGGCAACCTGGAGGTGTGTGAACTTCAACTCCCAGAATTACCAGAATTCTAGGAGTTGAAGTCCACATATCTTCAAGCTGCCAATATTGAGATATACTAATCTAGGGCTTTGTTATACCTAGGAAAGTTGTTGACATGAGTGATGCTTTACTGTTATAGAGGGAAAGGGTCCTTTCTCATTGCCTATCAATATTTATAGTTTATTAAATATAACTAGGCCTGGATACAGTAGTTTAAACCAAGTTGAGAGTCCAGTTCTTAGAAAACACAGATAAGTCATGAACCACCAGCTTAGAAACTGGGGCAATGGAGACAAATGTGCAGTCATTAATATAACAACTTCATAGATGGGAGGAAGATGAGGTGATGAAGAAAGAGGCAGAGATTAACCTTTACCAGGGGTGAAATCCAGCAGGTTCTGACTGGTTCTGGAGAACCAGTAGCAGAAATTTTGAGTAGTTCTGAGAACCAGCAAATACCACCTCTGGCTAGTCCCAGACTGAGGTGGAAATGGAGATTTTGCAATATCCTTCCCCCAGGAGTCGGAAGGGAATGAGGATTTTGTAGTATCCTTTGCCTGGAGTGGGGTGGGAATGGAGATTCTGCAGTATCCTTCCCCTGGAGTGAGGAGGGAATGGGGATTTTGCAATATCCTTCCTCTGGAGTGGGGAGGGAATGGAGATTTTGCAGTATCCTTCTCCTGCAACGCCCACCTAGCCACGCCCACAGAACTGGTAGTAAAAAAAAATTGAATTTCACCACTGACCTTTACTGATAACTGTATTCTACCATATAGGATTGGGAGATTTCTCTGAAAGCTTTATCATAGTCTTCAACATTTCTGTTCTTTCACTGGAGTGAATTTTGATCATTTCCCCTTATCAAACTTGTTCTCTCCCCCCCCCACATTCTCACACCCTTCCCCCAATTTTGTACCTCCTTTCTCAAGCTTCATGCAGATTAATGCAGAAGGAGATGAAATACCCAAACATGGCAGAGTTTAAGGCATGTTGTAAATACAATACCACAGTCCATTGTATAATATGTCATATCTGGTGTTCACCCTGGGGAACCTTTTGTGCCTATTTAGTAACATGGCTACTCTTCTATATCTTAGATTGCAAAATAGTTACACAGCTTCACAAAGAACAAATCAGGATTTGGAGGAGAAGCTGCATGCCCTGGTAAGTGATTGTATGGCCCTATAACGAGTAGAATGGGCAGGTCTAACTGTTTTAAAGATCTTAAAGGGTACCAGTACTGTACAGTAATATCAACATGCAATGAATCAAGATTTGGAATAGAATTTCAGTGTAGAGTTGATGAAAATGAGCATTGCTTCCAAGTCTTGTGTTTTGTGCAACAGTGTTTTGGGTGTCTCCTGCAACTCAGCTATTTGTAGTTTTGTCTCCCAGCTTTTTAAAAGACTCTTGGAGTTGTCATGTGCTGCCTATTGCAGAATCTGGGTGGGATGGTTTTGTCATGAATTGTGGGGTGTCAGAGTAGAGCCAACATTTGTATATTATGTGCATTCATAACACTCATGGCTTTTTTTCTCTCCTCTCTCTCTTTTTCTCTGTCTCTGTCTCTGTCTCTGTTTCTTTCCTTCCTACGCTGCTGCTGGCACATGCTGGGTGTGCTCACCTCTCAGGCCTCTCTCAGTCAAAACTGGATTTTTGCAGTTGCGTCTTTTCGTTTGTGTGTTTTTCTTTTCCTCTTCACATGTTTCAGCCTTTCCAGTTTCATTGTTGTCCATGCATTACTCAGCCCCACTTGCACTGTCTTTGATGGGATCCAGAATCTGAATCAGCCTGCAACTTGGGTTTGAATGAAATAGCTGATCCTTTCCTAGCATGACCTGCTCCATCCTATTTTATGGGATGTCATAGGGTTGTTGTTGTTTTTTTTGGGGGGGGATGCCATTTGTCTACCAAGAAAATTAATCCACAAACTGACATGAAATGCAGTACTTTTTCTTATCATTGCAGAACTAGGAGATGGGTAGTACAGTTCTCAGAAGCTTCAATCACCATAACCAAAACTAAGGATTTCTCATTCTAGTACAAATACAGTATTAAATCATTATCATTTTAATCCAATATCAACACCCATGCTTCACAAGACAGAATGGAGTGGGAACAAGTTCGTGTTTTTCAAATCAAGTGAAATGTTTCGCTGAAGCAGCTGCTGACACAAAGGTGTCAGTAATCTTTGTGTTAGTGTGAAAGTTATGTTATCTGTCATATGAAATGAGAGATGGGTGGCAAATAAATTTGAAAATAAAATAAATGGGGTGAATGTGTGAAATAACAGAAAGCTTCTGATCCTGCTCACTTTATGTCACAAGTTGTATAACTGCAGGAAAAAGAAACAAAATTTTTCTGAGTGGGCTTTAGAACAATAAGGTATTACTTTAAATGCAAAATAAATACTCTGAGAATCAATTTTCATGGAAAGCACAAGTGGACAAAGTGGAAAGCACAAGTTGTGTATTTTCCTGATCCCTGAATCCCATCCTGACCATACTCCTTTCCTATGAATGCTTTGCTGGGTGGGATTGCCACTGAGGCAGGAAACACATATAGCGTGAGCAGTAAAGTAGGCTTAAAGTAATAGTCAGATCTCAACATTCATTCCTCAAACTCGGGCCCCAATCACTTGCATCATCTATCTAGTAGTAGTAGTACCGGTATTTAAAGGCTGTTGTACACTTATTTGAAAGCAAACCCTATTAGACTGAATGAGGCACACTAGAACTGTGTGATACTGGGCTGTTTTTCTGTGGAAAAGGTAAGGTACTTTTGTAGGGCAAATGCCTATTGAAATTTCAGAGTAGAATTTGCCATTCCTGTGATACGTAATTAAGATCCTTATGTTTTGCTACTTCAGCAAAATATCTTATTTAGAAGAAGTTGGGATAAAAGGACGGTCTTGGAGACTCAAGAAATAGTTGAGAGCTAGGATGCGCAAATCAGTTTAAGTCTATTTCTTCTCAAAATGGCATGCATTTAAACATTACTTTTTGCCCCTCAGACAGGTTCTGAATTACCTGCTTAAATAAACACTATCCAGTTTTGTCTAGTGATTCAGGCACCAGGTTAGAAATCAGGGGACTGTGAGTTCTACTCCCGCTTTAGGCATGAAAGCCAGCATACATGATTTTGGGCTAGTCAACCTCTCTCAACCTGATCTACCTCATATGGTAGTTGTTGTGGGAAGATAGGAGGAAGAAGAAATATTAGGTATTAGGTATATTTGCCACCTTGAGTTATTTATAAAAATAATAAAGATGGAATAGAAATTAATTAATTAATTAATTAATTAATTTAAAATCCCTCAATCATTGTTATTTATTACACTTGTCCTGTGCACCTTGCTCAAAGCATGTATTTTTGTTTGAATTCATTCCAAGATGGATTTCATTTTTGGTGGGTCACATCACTTTTATTATAAATAATATATATATATATATATATATATATATACTAGCCTGCAATGCTAGGTAAGTGTAGGAGAATAAAATTTTAAACCTCATGGTGCAGGAACCTTTTCTTTCTAATGATAAACTCTAGATATTGATCTGATATGTTTTTAAAGAGTGCAATATCTGCTTGTTTCCAAGATTTTCTCCTACCATTCTCCCACCATGTCTAGACTAAAACTTGAAAATTGATATTTTTTTTAATTAACATGGAGTATTATGTAATTAAAGGCCATGCGTAACGGTGAGATTCAGATGAAGCCATTACTATTCCTCTGCCCCACAATTACAGTAGATGATTGTTACAGAAAACCTGGGTATGTGTAGAGTTGTGGAAAACATGAGTAGAATATATAATAAGTACAGTTGCTTTAGATATTTTATGTGCTCCTATTATTTTTCTTTAGATGAATACACACAAACAGTTTTTCACAGTTTCCCCAAGCATAATTTCTCTCCTTCTCAAATGTGTCTATTCAAACCAAAATTACTAAAGTCTGACCTTGCTCGCTTTCCATGATGTTCTTGGATTTCAGTTCTTATAATGCCTGACAATAGATAATGCTAGCTTAAAATGATATGAATTGGAGTACAGCAGAAGCTCAGGTTTGCCAATTCCTGATTTAAAGGGCATTCTTCATGTTTGTATGGTGTTTTTGCAAACAGGTATGAAGAAGTCAAACACTCAAACAGAGTTTGCGTTCCTAAGTCATTCCTCCCTAAGATACACAAAAAGAATTATATGGGTTAAAAAAGCCTCTTTTTTGCTAAATGAAGAAAAGGAGTTTGGGTAGGATGTAGAAGAGAAGAGGGCAAGGATGAAGACTGCCAATTGTTGACTAATGTGACTCATCACGTGTATATTGCTATTCTCTAGATTAAAAAAGCTGAAATGGATCGGAAAACTCTTGATTGGGAAATTGTGGAGCTCACTAATAAGCTTCTGGATGCCAAAACAACTATCAATAAACTGGAAGAGCTTAATGTAAGATTTTTTCAGAATATTGATCTTGTGTAAGAAATAGGGAAATAATTAATAGGCTTAACCTTACATAAGTATATTAGTGTTTAAAGTTCTGTGAAGAGCAGCAGATGACAGCCTGCTGAAGATCAACTATTCTAAAAAAAACTGGCATTGTATAAGAGAGCCCAATTCCTATCCAAGCAACATATTGACATATATACTTTTTCAGGAAGATGGATTGTGAAAATTGGGATACTTAATCTGTGTTTCATTTAGAACAGCTTTTCCCAATTGGGTGTTTTTAAAATGTACAAAATTAGGAATATGGGCCTTCCCACTTGATGTGGTTCATATGCTAGCATATCTTGAGGACCTAGGTATGGAAATGCAATGCATTAACTGACAGCCATACAACTCAGTTTATTCTATCAGACATTTACCAAGGATTCTGATGCTTTTTTTGATCTAGTGAGTTGTTTTTTTTATTTTTTAATTATTTTTCCTATTGGCTCTGTACACTGATGTATCAGCCTGACCTACATATGACTTATATATGGTCCTATCTTTACAGTAGATATGGTCTAGGCCTTTTCTTGGGCCTTATTTACTGACTTCTGTTTGTAAAGCTATGAAGTTCTCCGCTTATAGTAGTTGTCTTTCGTAAAGCCTGTTTTAAAAATAACTATTCTAGTTTGTGAATGAACTTGTCAAATCGCACAAGTTTTAATCAGCCACAATGGAGAAGAGGCTAGTAGCTAGAACAAGTAGTAAAATATAGTAGCTGTACATTTTAATGCATTTTTATTTTTCTAAAATGTTCATTGGGACTTGTGAGAGAAATTGATATGATCAAGACTAGTTCTGTCCTTAGCCTTCAGCTGAAGATTCTGGGTTGCCATAGACCAGGGGTGTCAAACTCGTGGGCTGCGGGCCGGTTGCGTCACGTGCTGGCCCTGCCCCCGCCCGGTTTAGCAAAGGGGGAAAAAGTCCCGACACGTCACATGACAATGCAAGTTTGACACCCCTGCCATAAACTGTTGCAAGTTCTCAGTTGTTTTGTTTTCATCATTATGAAATACTTTTGTACTTTTGCCTGGGACATCACATTGTTGTGGACCATTTCCAAGCTATATCTTTTCAATTATGATGTGTTGTCTTGACAGGAGCGATACCGGCTAGACTGTAACTTAGCAGTGCAGCTCCTGAAGTGCAACAAATCTCATTTTCGGAACCACAAATTTGCTGATGTGAGTAAAAACCTGGAGGGGTTTGAGGACTGGTGAATCACTTTAATGGCCTGGGATGAACTGCATGTCCTTATTTTTCTGGGATTTCTGTTTCCTAAAGGGGACAATAAACAATTAATGCCAGTCATCTTGTACATGTTTCTCATTTTCATTGCCTCATTGGCTTTGAATTCAGTAGGTTCCTGAAAAGAGTTTCATGAATTGCAGGCCTCCTGATTAATCCTAATTTTCCTCTTTTTGTTTCAGTTAACCATTTCTATATGAGTCCTCAGTACAATGAGATATTATAACAGAATTAGTAATCCAGTACAAAAATCTGATTACTACAGGGATTTTTAACTAACTAAAGTGAGGAGGCGATTTAGTAGCCAGGACAGAAAACAAGGAAGCTAGTTAGACTAGGAAGTTTAAATATCTGGAGCGTCTTATAGTCCGAAATTTTCGTTGTTGTTAGTTGCGAAGTTGTGTCCAACCCATCGCGACCCCATGGACAACGTTCCTCCTATCCTCTACCATATATTACTTTTAAAGGGGGGGGGTTCATTTATATTTGCAGGCCTGGTACATGTTCTCAGGTATCAGTGTTTACACATTTCTACTGCTGGATATTTATGTTAGCGCAATGCTTGTTTTTGCAATCCTAACACATCTGGCCCATCACAGGGCATTTGGTCAGGGACAAAGACTATGTCACCTCTGCATACATCCTATTTAATCTTTGCCATGGGTGCTGGCTTTCATGTTCCCTGTCATTCCTCTTTTCATAGTTTACAGGAATTGCTGCAGTATTTATTGGGAAATGAACAAGAGCAGAGTCCTGCAGGAAGGCATCTTAGAGAGGCAAGGAAGGACCATGTTCTGCTAAAAGCTCAGCTCTAGGATGTTCTGCAAGATGTTCTGCACGGAATCTGTTTGTGTAACTGCATAGATGAAAGCTGATGAAAATGATGTACTCCTTGCTTATAATTTGCTTGACAGACTGTCCATGAGAAGATTCCCAGGGAGTGCAAAGTGGTTCTGTTTCCAAAATCAATTGAACTAATTCTAGGGCAGTTTGGCCAAGACAGTGCCTTGTAATTACTAGATGTTTTCTGGCAGACGTAGCTTATAACAAGAGCAAGGAGGGAATTGGTTATTCAGTTCAGTGTGGCAATCAACTTTTTTTTCCACCCATCAATGGTACTGTGTTGGCCTAACACAAGCAAGGAATGTAAGATATTACAAATATTTCTATTTGTTCTAAATGTATATTGGAAGCACAATATTTCCCTTGATTCTGGGATAGAAAGAGAAGTATTTTGAATGTAGGTATTACATATTTGAAAAGCTCTTCAGTTACATTTAGTTAGAACAAGCAGTTTAGATGGGTTTTGCAGAAACCTCTACAGACACCGTGGTGTATTTGTCCATCCCATTTACCGTGTTTCCTATATGCGATTTTAATTCCAGACTACTCTGTCTTTTTCTTATTAGCTTCCATCTGAGCTGCAAGATATGGTCAACAAGCACTTGCAAAACACTCAGGATTCTGTAGCCCCTGGCCAGGAGGAACTGCACACCTTGGCTCCCTCTGATGTTGTGCCCACCTCAGTCATTGCTAGAGTGTTGGAGAAGCCAGAATCACTGGTGCTGAACTCAGCCAAATCCAGCAGTGGAAGTTGCTCTATGGCTGAAGATGTTTTTGTGCATGTAGATATGAGTGGCACGCTTCCTGAAACTTGTGTAAGTTCGGGGCAAGCAGAAAGCAAGGGGAAGGAGGGATCTAGACAGCAAAATGGGAGCTGCAAGCCACAGAACTGCTTGGAGAGCCTGCCAAAGGAGGTGCCTGCTTTTGAGAAACTAAGCCCATATCCCACCCCTCCCCCTCCCCACCCCATGTATCCAGGGCGGAAAGTCATCGAGTTTTCTGAGGACAAGGTGCGGATTCCAAAGAACAGCCCACTGCCCAATTGTACTTATGCTACCCGCCAAGCTATCTCTTTGAGCTTAGTCCAGGGGGAGGATGAGAACTGTGACAGGCAGCGCCCCCTTCCTAGCAGCCCAGCCTCAGGTCAACGCTCTGCCTCCAGCTGCTCCTACCAACCTTCCCCCAAGTTGAGCCGGGTTCCTGGATCTTCTCAAAGCAGCCCCTTCAGCAGCCCCCCACAGGTTCCCAGCACATTTGCCAGTTCCGCCAGCTCCGAGGAGGATTTACTAGCTAACTGGCAGCGGATGTTTGTGGATAAGGCTCCTCCTACCACAGAGCACGTGCTAGTAAACCGTACTGCATTTAGTCGTGACACAGCACAGGAGCTCCAGAAACGTTTCAGCCGCTCCATGCAAGAGTTAGGTCGGGTAGCTTCCGCCTACTCAGATGGTGAAGAATCCGTGCAGAGCTACAGCTGGACTGTAAGCAGAGACTCAAGCGTGGACATCGACAGCACAGAGTTTCGAAGTCGCCGGAACCACTTCTCTTCTGACTACAGCACAGATTTCTCCCAGGACGAAAGCTGCAAATTGCTGCAAGGGTCTGGTACTGAGGGGATGGCAGAGCCTGTCACTTCTTCACCAGAGAAGTCCAAAGATTACATAGACTACTCATCTGGGAGCCCAGGTGAAGAACAGGAATTGTTGCTCCTGGAAAGCAGGGTGAATAGCCAGGAGGGGGTTTCTGAGCAGAGCAAGGATGGTAAGAGCAAGCCACCTCCTGGGCGCCCACATCGCAGCCCCAAGAGAATGGGGGTTCATCATTTACATCGGAAGGACAGCTTAACCCAGGCTCAGGAGCAAGGCAACTTACTTACTTGAGAATGGAGAAGAAGAATTGTCTTGGCTACCCAGGTTGAGTGTTGCATTCTCTTCCCAGGGTTGCTCTTCAAGCCCTGAGACTCAAGGGATTGCTATCACATTATTTTTGGCCAGGAATTCTAGGCAATGTTTAAGTATTTACTGTCTTTTTAATACACAGGAAAGGGGAGACAGCTCTTCTCTAGCACCAGGATGCACTTGGATGTATGCTGGCAACTCTTTTGTGCTGATGTTGACTGCTCAAGCACTCCTCAGGTGTGGATAAGAGAGAGAATTGTGCTCTCTGTGCCTGCCTTCTTCAACCTGTTCTCCTTGTCTTGAAGGCCAAGATCTAGAAAATAGTTAACACTGAGTCCAATTATAATAGTATATATGATTGGAAAACCAGCACAATTTTAGATCTACACAAGCACTCTTAACTGTATGAAATTGAATCTAGTGTTAATTACCTTACAGACCTTCCCTCTTAAGGTAAAGAACAATGGAGCAGTTGAAACAAAGGCACGCTTTCTATCTCCCCTCCATGCGTCCTTTCTCAAAACGCTTGGTGAGGGGTTCCACCTGACTTCATTTCTTTTCTTCAAAAAGTCTGCCTTCACACTTACTGATCAGTTCCAATTAATTCAAATTAAGTCCTGAGACACCTGAAGCCTATATTTCTACCTTTTTGGCTTGTGGCACGAGATAGGAATATTTAGTCCCTATTTTCTTGCCTCAGTCTCCCACCAAGCCATCAGGTGAAGAAGATGAATGAAGTGAAAAGCCTTCTGTGAATGAATATCCTCATTTCTGTAAGCTTTTGGTGAATTCTGTAACATTTTGGTGAGTTCATGTTTGTTTCTCCAAGCCTTCCTGTGGCTATATGCATAGGTCAACAAGGCAGATGAGGCACAGGAATCACCTCTACCGTTTCTTTGCATGTTGCATATGGGGAGTGGGGCTCCATATTCTGGAAGTTGGGGTTTTCTGCCAAACTAGATCTCAGACTCCCTGCCATAATCTCCCAACTTGAGCTAGATTGTTTGCCATAATGAGCTGAGTCTGTGTAGCTGTCTGTTTAGCTATCACTTGGATACTCTGGATCATGATTTGGTGATAGTATACTATCTATGTTTTCCTTTGGATTAGTCTTCCTCACTCTTATTCTTTAGACGTGTAGGGGCTAAAATTCCCAGCAAGTGTGACTGTATAGGGCTGTGTGGTTTCAACACTTCTGGGAGGGGGATGCCAAATTGAGGAGTGCTGCTTCAAGTCTTCAACTGTTAATATGTACTTCTGTCTCCATTTTTGGGTGAGCAGAAAAGTGTTGTGGGATGGAGTGGTACATACTGTAGAAGAGATATTTCAGCTTTTTGATCTTGAGTCACTTTACGTCTGGTCCATAAAATTATTTCACTAGCTGAGGAAAAAATTCCCATTAATCCAAGACTAAACCATACAGCCAGCTTGCCTCTTGATGACTCTTCTTGGCACAAAATTAGATACTTCTTGTTTGCCCCCTTGGAGACGGCTGATGAGGATGGGCATCCCAATATGGGGTCCAAATTGACACTAGTGCCTTTCCAAGGCCTTACCCAAGGTCTTTTATTCCCTTTCCCCCTTTTTGGTTTCCTACTTGTATTCAGTATTTTGTTCTTCCTTTCTGGCTGTTTTTGTGTGTTATTTGCGCATTTGAGGGGAGGGACTAATTTCATAGTGTTAAGAATTTTTCATTAAAGAATCAAACTTCCATATTTGAATTCATTAACCTGCCCTGCTATTCATGCAACCAGAGAAACTTCTTGGCTACTTCGCTTAATTATTTTTGTCAGTTATTTGTTTGAATGAGATTTTGGAAATTTTCTGTTAGAGAATATTATGGCCTTTTTTTTTTCAAATACAGCAATCTGGTCATATCTGACCTTTTGGATATGGTCGTGTTTAAATTCTTATTAATGGACCATTCCTTTAGTTAAGCTGCTAGCTACTGCATTGTATTAGTGAGATGTAACACAGTATTTTTTGATAATAAACTGGTGCTAAAGATATTATTCCTTTAGCTTACATAATACTTAATGGTCTGATTTCTTTAGCTGATAATTTACTTACTTCCTTGTTCATTCTCTTGATTTAGTTTGTGAATTCCTTGAATTTTCTCTGCACTACATGGAAGAGGACAAAGGTCACTATTTTTTTCTGTTTCAGTCCTGTATTCTTTTAATCCGGTTACTGATGGAGATAGGGCAGCTTGGTGACCTTTTATTTAAACCAGTATTGGTTGAATCTTATCTAGTTGAAATGAAATCATTCTCGTGAGCTAATTGGGTCAATGGAATCGATTCGAGACCATTTCGGTTACAATATGTTAAATCCAGATCCAGTTCTCCTTTCTGTGTTTGGCTACATAAACCATTCCGAAGCTGGCACAAGTATAGCTGATAACCAAATAATCTAAATATTTTTTTCCTTCTCTCTTTGGGTAGATAGCAGGGACCCATAAAATTCAGCTCAGGGTCGCTATCATCCCTTTTTTGGCCCTCACAGCCCTCCATGTTGGTGGGATCTAAAATTTTGGACTTTTTACATTTTTTTGAAAAAAAAAGTTGGATGTGGTTTAAGGGCCAGAAATGGATTATTTAAAGCCCTGCAGAGGTTATGGGTACCCATTTAACCCCTTCTGTAAGTGACCTTTGAAGTGCTGTTGACATGCCACCCAAGCACTCAGGTAATCCTGTAGGGAATAACTTAATGGGCTAAAGGCTGGGAGAAGAAAGCGAGAAGAAAGGAAATGTTTTTTTATTATTATTATAAATGAATAGTATAATTTATCAAGTGAATTTACTGTCCTTGTGCAATCTGGCTTCTTAGCTCTTCACCTCTGGCAGTATTTTGTTGGAGAACTTGAATTGACTCATTTAGCTGCTCCCACACTTTAGAGTCCCAACTCAAGACTGTTAATCTACAACTAAAATGTTTTGGTGGTGGTGGTGTGTGTTTTGTTTTGGGGTTTTTGGGGTTTTTTTTTGTTTTGTTTTGTTTTGAGATTTTCAAACTGATAATGTATATTTTAAAGGCAGAAATAAAACTATTTTAAAAATATGTCTGTGCAGTCGGTTATTTATTTTGTGGTTTGAATCAGAAACAGACCATAGAAATCTTTGCTAAAATTCTAAAGGTGCAATCACAGGTATTTTTCAAAACTTGATAATTGATTTTTTAACCAGAAATGCGAGGGATCTAACCTGGAACCACCTTAATGCAAAAGATTGCTATACCACTGAGATACAACTCTACCTGTAAATTACACCAAGGTTAATTTTCCTTTATGATTATATTCAAATTGATTTTTTCCCCCTGGAATTATCAGTTAGGTAACAATTGACCTTTGGTCTTCAGCAGGATGCTGAAGACCTTAGTGTAGCATGGGGCATCCTTAGTAAAGTAGAACCATATATTCTTTTTTTAATTTTCAGCGTTTAGGTTTTAGAGTCCCTTCAAATTATTGATATATTTGTATACCAGCCTTTCCAACATGAGTCTTTCTAGATGTTTTGCTAATATCTACATCAACCTCACCTTCAACCACTTTGAAGGTTGTGTTTGAAATCCAAACCATCTCTGGTTGGAAGTCCATTATAAACCATGCAAGGGTTTACTGGAAAAATCCTAATTAGAAAATGAAGACACTGCTGCCTCCTATTGGTTTTCAAGGTCTTTGTATTTTATTTGCAGAGGAGATATATATTTGCGTTTCTAGAATGATGGTAATACTGTACAATAATATTTTTATTGTTGGACCAAAGTGAATGTATACATAGAAGTAAGGCCAATATATAAAAATTAGTAGAGATATCGAGCTGTAATAACACCTGATCTCTGTAATATGCTTTTAATTATTCACTCGTACTAAAACAGTGTGATGGTTTATTGTAATGTTATCACTTTGGTTCTGAATTAGTTGTTGATACATTCCGGGGGGGTGGGGGGGGATGAAGGTTTTTAAAGTTTTATTTTATCAATATTTATGTGTGCTTTAATATAGCTGTTTTGGATTTTATTTTTAAACAAGAAAAAGTTGGTACATTGGACTTACCACGCAGTGGGACAGAGGATTTTGTAGTCTGATATCTTCTTCCCACTCACACCCAAGGCAAAACCAGAAGATTCTCACAATGTTTTCTGGGGGAAGATACAACTTCTCCACCAGCTTCAGTATTACAACTCCCAGGATTACCTAACAAAAATACACTTTGAAAAATATAGTGTATTAGGATTAAACTGTGTAGAATTAGTTGCTGAAATTGATATATATCTATCAACACCTAAGTGAGCTAGATGCCCTGTTTCTGTTGTAGAAAAAGAACTTCATGTAAGTCAAATGGTCTTTAGCAAAATCAGAGCATTTTATAGTGGGATATACCAGAGCTGTCCCGGAGAATGGAATTTTGCATCTGGACAGTTTCTAGTCCTTGCTAGAAACTACCTTCTGTTCTGCCAAAAATGCTTCACCCAATCATTGTAATAGTTATTCTCACAGTGTTTTATAAAAGAGGACAGAGGACTGTATGCAATTCTACAAATGTGTTCCAAGCAATCCATGCATATATGAAGTTATTTGGGGTCCACAGGAAGGCAAATTCTAGACTCCATTTATTTGGAAACAGTGGTTGGTGCTTACTTCTCCCCTTTTGCCAGTGGGAGAAAATATTTCCCTGGCTGGAGCCAAGACTCCAGGCCTGGTCACGGGCCTGGTGGCTCAGCAGAGTGATAGCATTGTGATTAACACCAGCTGTCAGCAATTACTGTAAGTTCGAATCTCACCAGGCTCAAGGTTGACTCAGCCTTCCATCCTTTCTAAGGTAGGTAAATTGAGGACCCAGTTTGTGTGGGCAATAAGCTGACTTTGTATAAATATACAAAAGTATGAAGGCTATTGCTTAACGCATTGTAAGTCGCCCTGAGTGTCCGGAGAAGGGCTGCATATAAATCAAATTTTTTAAAAAAAAGGCTATATGACACATTTGAGGTTTCTGTGCCTCCTCCAAATAATGTGTCCCTTGTTGCCAGTTGCTGCTTTGGGTGTGGTAGGGGCACAAGAAATGGGGAAACAGTCTGATGTCCTGGTTCCTTTGTCTTCTTGTTGATTAGGGATAAGGTTAGGCATATGCTGGTTGGCTGGCTGGTGGTTAGGAGTTTCTTTTTTCAATCTCAGTAAGATCCATATCTCTAGAGGCTTTCTAAATAGATTACTATGTTTGAAAAGTCCCAATATGAGGACTGATTTTATTACTTTACTTTCCTATATTCTACCCATAGTTGTCACTTGGTGTCTACATTAGAAGTCATGTCTTCAACCAAAACCTGTATAGTTTAGGTTAATACATGCCATAAAGCCAGGCTGGCTATTATGATTATGCCTCACCCTTGGCCATGGGATCAAAAGTCTAGGGAAAATGGAATAGGCAAGGAAGGTTCTTAGTAATAAGACTAAGGCAGTAGCTAATAGGCTCTGTGTTATATAATCTTCATTCGGTCCTCTGGATATTCTAAAAGCATCTTTCTCATCTTTATATACTTTTAGCTTCCAAAATCAGAGGCGTCATGGGAACAGGTCCTGGAATGCCTTTGGAAAATTATAGAATTTGTAGGCCAAGGGAGGTACCTACCTTATACCCAATTCCAACAGATCTAACAGAGGATCCATAGAAGCAAACAATTCCAATTCTTTTAGTCTAGGGACTTACGGACTACCCCCTCCCCCCCAAGTTGTGGAAAGACTGCCTTTTGGAAAAGCCTGATGGATTTGACACATGAATGTTAATCTTCTGCTCCATCTAAGGAGAACTGCCTCTTCCTCTTCAACCAAATTTGCATGTGGGAGGACAGAATGGCTTGCTTACCTGTATCATATATCTTCCCTTTGCAATCCGCCTAGTTCTTGTCTATTTCAGTGGAAGTCTGGGGAGGAAGAAGAAAGGGGGACAAAAGAGGAGAACGATGCTACTTTTCTCTCTCCTCATTTGCTTCTATAAATTAATCTGGCTCTCAATCATCCATAGCGGTATTTTCTCTCTTTCTCCACTTCCATGGCTCAGTAGGAAGGTTTAATCTAGGAAATCTGGGCCTACTTGGTGAATTCTTGCTTGGTCCTAGAGATCTCTGGCCCATGGCTTTCAGGGAGGAAGATATGGTTCAACACTGGTATTCCATCTGGAGGACAGAGAGGGCTAGGTATCCATCGTTGTCAGCTTGTCCCCTGTGATACTTGTGGGATAGGGATGAACTCTCTGGAGTTGCAAATGGAATGTGTTGATGGCCTGCAGCTTTGGTAGTTGACTGTGTTCCCCTCTTGAAGTGGGATAGGGAGGTGAGAATGGATAATGTGCTACTATGGGCCTCTTACTTGGCCTTAGCTATCTGAGCAGTGCAACCTGTTCACTGACAAGAAGTTGTCTTTGGTGACTACTGTATGCATTCTCTCAGCCCCAACTTGGAAGAGCCATCCAGAATCATGTGAGAGTTGGGTGGCATCCACATTTTATTTATTAAATGAATTTATCAGTATTATTTCCACAATCAATTATGTGATTGCTGTAGCTTCTATTTTTAATGGCCTATTGTCATTTTGTGAAACAAAGAGTATATCAAAATGGATTTGAGAAAGTAAAGACATGAAATTGAGTTCAGTGTAGGCCTTGGCTGAAAAGGTTCTTGCAACATAACTCTTAGCATTCTGCTTTTCGTAAGACAATAAGATACGTGGAGTCAAGCAGCCAAAGTGTTTTACTAATGACATACTCAGGTGAGCTGTTACTATTTTCAGTGTACATCTCCTCCTTTCTAACTTTTTCATCCATACGTAGATCAGAACTCTGCCATGTTTTTGTGAATTTTATAAAATTTTACCCAAGCATAAATACAAGCAATAAAAAGAATATCTCTTATACATAAATATATACATCTGAAAAAATGCAGCTTCTCCCAAAGATCAGTTAAGTATGGCAAAGTATAAAAATACAGCAACTGAATCATCAAAAGCAGATGATAAGGACTGATTGATTAGGATCTGGTTCCAGAGCAGGAAAGAAAAGGTGACTAGTATATGGATCTCCAGTCACACAGCCCAGTATTTGCATACAGGCATATTAGCTTTCCTGTCTTTGCTTTGTGCACACATGAATTCAGAAGCACAGTAGACATTACACAAGATGTGTGAAAATACACATTTCCACCAATATACGATCTTTCCAAATAAAGTACATGGAAATATTTTTCGCATCAGATATTCTGTTCACATCTCTGTTTCCGCTAACAGACTTTCTCCAAGGCCTGATGTTACCAAGACCATCTGGGAACTAGAATCTGAAATGGAAAAAAGTTTCTTTAGCATTGACACTGGCAACTTTTTATCTTCCTTTCGGCCCCGTAGATAATGCTGCCAAAATCCAAAAGCAAAATGGTTAATTTTCAGCCTGTGAGAATTTCTCTTTTGACTTCATCTCAAAATCACAACAGCAAAAATCCAGCCATCTCTATCTAGTGATAACAGCAGCTTCCTGCAGGTTTCACCGCCAGGAGATGGTTGAGGAAAAATTGAGGAAGCCATCCTCAATTTCAGCAGAGCCTTTTAAGAACACCAGGTTCATTAAACCTCCCTTTCTAAACACCTTTTGAAGTGTAATTACTATAAAGTTGCAAAAAATCTTGGAAGCAACAAGTTCGTAAAACCACCCGGTGAGTTAACATTTGTTCCAATACAAAAGATAAAGTAACAGCCTACATAATTAAAAGAAATTGAGGTAAAACAGCAAAAAGCTTAATAAGTTAATCTTAAAAAGTTACAAACAAATTAAGGGATCAGACAGTTTTGGAATATTAGGACTTTTGTTAAAAGCTTTTGGAAATAATTTTAAAAACCCAGTATTATCATGGGAATATGAATTAAGTCTATTAGAAAATAAGCAATAGAAATTTGAAATTTTGCAATTTAAAAATTTTAACACTAGAGGGGACTAAAGACTTCAGGCAGAAGAAAGGAAAAAGTCTTATGAAACCTACCAATGACAAACAAGGTTATGACATTTAAGACATTTCAGGACATTTTTGAAGAATGGGGTTAGCTAATACGTCAGCAACAGTGTTTTCCTACAGTATAAGAATGTATTACTTCCAAAAGATTTTGAAAAAGAAATGATAACTGAAAGGGAATATTTTGGAAGACTGACAAGATGAAAAGGATACACAAGTATTAATGCAGAAAGACTTGGAAATAAATTCTGGACTATAAATCGGAGATGATAGACAAAATGGAATTACAAATGGTAAGACAAAATAACTCTGGATAATGACTTTTTATCAGATTTACGAATGTAAATCTTTTGAGATCGGAAAACAAAAATTGAAGTGAGATCATATCCTACAAGAGCAGCAGAATGAATTAAGGATTATTAGAAGCAAAAGGAAGGAATGCAAAGTTGATGTCAGGATTAAAATATGACATATTTATGAAATACTGGGAAGCCTTTACAAGCTTTTTGCCGACATCTGGACAAAAACAAGGTTTTATGGATTTGCCAATGGATAAGTGATAGCTTATAGGAGGAAAGTGATCCATCTGTAATATTTTAGAGGATGGGAAAATTTTGTTTGTACTTGTAAAGTTCAGAAATCATTTCTTTATTGGTTTTTTCTCCCCTCTTTCTTTTTTCTTTGAATTTTTATTTTTTTCTAGTCTTTTTTTTTTCCTGATTTCAATTTGTGCTATCTTTTATTACAAGTAGTAGTTTACAACCATTCATTCAAGAGCCCTTTGAAGTTACAATGGCACTGAATGGTGGTTAGGGCTGATCTTTGGAATGTATTTTTTAAAATCCTTAAAAAAATCATTTTTAAAAGAAAGAAGCAGCAGGTCTTGGTATTTATATGTTTGCTCCGATTCTGTTTTTTTATCACCATGGCCTGTATGACGCTCCAATGACTTTTAGTATCAGCGATATACTAAGATAAACAAACATTCAGCATGTTTTAAAAATTGGCACATACTTTTTCACAGAATTGTATTTTCCTCTCTTAATTTATTTAATTGATAAGCGTTTACAGCGCCAAATGAAGAACTAGGCTGTTTCCATTTTTATTTTCCAAGTACATGGTTTTGGACCTATGTGGAAATTAGAGGTATTGTTTACGTAAAGACGCAGCAAACTAGCTCCTTTCTTTTCTAAAATTAGAAACAAAAGATATTCATTGGTACTACATTGTCTCCCCAAGATAATAACATATTGCTGCATTAATTGTATATACATATTGAAGGTGCAACCGTATCTAACCTCTAATTTTAATTATGGAACTGCTGCATATAGAAATAAATAAATTGGAAACCAGACTGGTGTGTGTTTGTAAGCAGGGTAGGTGACTCTATTAATTTCTACTTCCACATACCATTTATATGAATGATTCAAGAAAATAGCTTTCAATAGGAAAGCATTTATTTAGGGTGTATCTGCACTTTAATGTCATCTGGTGACTGCCTAGACAAGTCCCTGCAGTTTTCTTGTTTTACTATATTTTGTAAAGGAACTCAAAACAAAAGCATTTTCCCACAAGGATTCTTTACAATTAATTTCAAAATATTTTTTTGAAATTTATCTGAACCCTTAGTCTGTTATAAAATCAAAGCTTTAATCATCCTTTTTGCTGTTTATTCTAGAAAAAAAATATCATTAAGTATTTAATAAATAAGCCATGGTGGTGCAGTGGTTAGAGTGCAGTACTGCAGGCTACTTCTGCTGCCTGCTGGCTGACTGCAATTTGGCAGTTCGAATCTCACCAGTCTCAAGGTTGACTCAGCCTTCCATCCTTCCGAGGTCGGTAAAATGAGGAGCCAGATTGTTGGGGCCAATAGGCTGACTCTGTAAACAGCTTAGAGAGGGCTGTAAAGCACTGTGAAGCAGTATATAAGTCTAAGTGCTATTGCTATTTCAAACTTATTTCACAAGGATTGAAAGAGACTCACTGGGTATTGTAAAATTTGTTGATTTGAAAGTTCCTTATAGCTGAAAAGCAATTAACATGTATTTTCCAAAAGTGATTAGGAAAGGGAGTATGCAAACCAAGTGTCTTTTTGAGGAACCAAATGGAGTTTGAACAAGATGGCTATTCCCTAATCTCCCAGAGTTTTAAAGCTACTGAGATCACTGTCTCATGGTCTCCCCATGAGGAACAACTATCTGGAGCACTTGTGGTCCTCTCATTGTCTGAAGAGAAATTGTGGAGAGGCAGTTGCTGGGTCTTCATTCTGTCATGGTCAGCTTCACCTTTTGTGGTGCCATCTTCAGCTTGTTGTTTCTTCCCCAGAAGTCTTCCCTGCAGTTTTCTTGAAAAGATTTTGGAAGTGGCTTGCCATCTCCATGAAAGCATTAACTATTAGTTTATATTCAAATTTAGTATCCATCGGCTTCTATTAAGATTTCATCCTGAAAGAGGAATTTCAGTTCTAGATAAACTATGCCAATTATGCTAATACAAATAAATACTGGGATGAAAGAACAATACAATTTGGAGAGACAAGTATCAAAACTTCAAAATTACAAGAATGAGAACATATCCATTCTCCAACAAATTATGTGGAGATCTGAAATATAGAATTCTTCTATATTTGAAAAAACATCTCATCACTAGGAATCTCAACTAATGGGCTATTTACGTATCTGGTCTGTTTAAGCTGTTCTACATGGCTTAATATACTTTTCCCCTTTATAAAATCAGATAAACCGACTGAAATACAAATTAGTTTTACAGTATGATAAAAACATACTAGAGACTAAATGATCAGTGTTCTAGTAAAGAAAATTCTTCTCTTTCCAAATAAATCAAAAGATAAAAAATGTAGTATCCTAATTCCACATGCGTGTAAATCTCCCACTTAGTGTCACCTCCCATTGTCAAGAAGGAGCCAATCTTACTGCTTTGACAGATCCAGGAATTCTTCTCTCTGGCCATCACTTCATGGTTCACAGTCTCATCTTCCTCCTCGCCCTCTGAAAGAAGGTCTGAGATTTGCTGCTGTAGTTCAGGACTAATGTTGTTTTCTGCCAGGATCAATGTCCTCAGAGCTGTTGGATAGTTTTCCACCATGTCCAATAGGATCTGAATTGAGTCAGAACATGAGGCATCATGAAAAACAGCTCGCTCTAGTCACCAGGGAAGAAAAAGATCTAAAATGCACTACAAACATCATGGTGGCGCAGTGGTTAAAATGCAATACTGCAGGCTATTTCTGCTGATCACCGGCTGCCAGCGGTTTAGCAGATCGAATCTCACCAGGTTCAAGGTTGATTCAGCCTTCCATCCTTCCAAGGTCTGTAAAATGAGGACCCAGATTGTTGGGATCAATATGCTGACTGTAAAACCGCTTAGAGAGGGCTATGAAGCGGTATATAAGTCTTAAGTGCTATTGCTATTAGGAGGTGGGAGAAAATTCTAAAGTAATTTACCAGATTCCCTGCATAAATTGCCCCTGTGACAGATTGGGAGGAAGCTAACCACCAGACTGCAAGAACAAGAGCAAACGGTTAGATGAGAGGACCCAAACTCATTGCAATGAACAAGGACATGCATTCAATTTTGCAGCTATTAAGATTGTTGGCTGAGCAGGGACAAAAATAGCCAGAGAAATGATTGAGGCCTGGGAAACGGGCCCCTGACCAGTCAGTAAGACTGCTGATGTACCACCACCAGCTTACCATGTATTTAGGAGCCAAGTGTGTGGGCAGCACAAGGAAACAACAACTAACTACTTAATAGCTGGCCATCAACATCCTAATTAACAACTAAAAGCCACACACAATCAGGCATCATATAAATACAACTCCTAGAACAGCCACGTGCACACATTCTGAAGAGAGAGAAGTTCCCTGAGGATGGACTTCAGCATGATCCTGAAAGCTTGGAGGAATAAACCTTTGGTTCTGGTGACCGACTCAGACCGAGTCCTGCAAGATCTAAAATGTATTTATTATGACATGGGATTAACAAGGCTTGAATGGCCAATTAACCTAAAACAGTTGTATTTCTTCCTATTGCCTTAATTACATAGAGCAAGTTCTACATCACTAAAGAGAATCAGTACTTTTATCACTAATTCACCCTATCTAACACTTGTGACTATGTCCATCTTTGTTGATTCAAAATCTACATTCCCTTCACATCAAACCAAAAAGGTAGGATATCTTCCACATCATAAAGTTTTAAGTAATTGTAAATTCTTGCGTCCCTTGAGAAAAGGAAAAATACACTGGGAGGGGAATTATGTGCAAGCTTTGCAGTTGGTCACATTGACTTTCATGACTGGCAAGAGAAATAAGGGCAACAAAAAGAGATATTTCCTTACCATAGCTGACTGATTGGTAAGTCCTGTCCCTTCCAAGTCTAAAACTTCTAAGGTGCGGCTGGATGCCACTGAAACAGCCAGCATTGCTGCTATCTGGTCACCTATGGAACAGAAAGCCAGGAGATGTGAGAAAAGCATAGTGCAACTCTACCAGATGCAGCCACTTCAAGAGTAGCAGAACGTGAGGGACATCCGCAGTCATCTGAATACTGAAAGTTTCTCCACTTTCCCTCAGATTATGGCTCCTAATGTTGAATTCCATAGTTGCAGCTTTATAAAGAAGATGCTGTGTTAATACTTTACTGTGTGTTGACAGTGCAAGATGCTAGGCAACGGTGAGGAAATTCTCCTTTTCCTCCTGCTTTTCATCCTTGGCAAACTATAGCCATACAATTAAAAAAATCCTCAGACACTGAGCAAATCTCTGAGTACTCTTTGTCTCTCCTTGTCTCTGAGTAGCCCTCTAGCTCTAGCAGTTTATGATTGGTTAGCAGATGAAAAGATACGCACCGCTCCTTGGGAACTGAGGTGTGTGTGGGGGGAAAGGGGGGTTATCCATTCTGAGTGGGCAAGGTGAGGTAGGGAATGCACAAGTATGGCCAAGATGTTCCCATCTATCTCCTTTAGTGGGATGAGTAGTACAGAGCAGCCTGGCTCACCAGCTGCCAAATCAGCTCAGCAATGCAGCTGGGAAGAAAAGAAGTTTCCATGGCAACTACTGTTGAAACTCCTCATTGCCTTGCTATTTTTTGAAGCGGCAGCTGGGAAAGGGATAACTTATGCCCACCAAGCCCGGGGTAAAGATCTACAGGATGTGGGATAGAATCCAGCCAATGACCCCACAAATGAGGTACTGCCACGGAGTCTGCAGGAGAAGCTCATAATCTTGGTTCCAGATAGCCCAATAGCAGGGTGGATTTGATTTAAATCGAGTTAATTTAAATCACAATTTAAATCATGATTTAAATCACTAGTAAAAAGGCTTGATTTAAATCAACTCGATTTAAATCATGATTTTTAAAGAGCAACTGTCATCTCTGCTACTCCTTTGACCCACTGTTGACTCACCGATAGTCCCAGTGTTGCAGAATATACAGCCTCATGCTACATAACTAAGCTCCATTTCATGCTGAATAAACTAAATTATTTATGTATCTTAAATAGAAAACTATCTTACGATAGATTTTTTACCCCAAAAGTTTTTTATTAAAATAAATGAGATAAAAGTCAAAGAAATCCGATTTAAATAAAAAAAAATCCGATTTAAATAAAAAAAATCAGATTTTTTTGATTTTTTAAAAAAAAACCATTGATTTTTATCCACCCTGCCCAATAGTTCTCTGTTGCCCTTCCTTTGTGTAGAATGGGGTAGTCCTCCGTCCTACTTTTCCAGAATAGAGTATGTGATGATGGCAGGTTTGGTTTTGTGATTTTAGCTTTCAATTATGGAGTGGTTTCTTAAGCTTTCTTTTATTGCTTTTATTTTAAGCATGTGGGTGGAAGATTATTCCTGACAAAATGGGCCCTGGTTTACAGACAAGGAAAGAAAAAAAAAACTAGATTGGGGGAAGACCTCACTGAAAATTACCAAGTCCCTACCAGCCTTTGAAGATCAGTGGGTACAGTCTCAACACATCCAGAAGACAATGGGCTATAGAAGGTTGAGACAGAAAACACCAGATAAGCTGGCACAATTGGGCTGATTTTGTAGAAAGCAGCTTCACCAGCTGCCAAATTTGCTTTTTTTTTCCGAGTAGTCTTCTCATAAGTCCTTAGGTCCTCTTGATTAGAGGACAGAATAAACTGCTTTTAAATTACTATTGGTATAAGGCAAGCATGGCAAACCCACAGGCCGCATCAGGTCCTGGACAGTGAGTAATGAAGCCCTACAAGATTTATTTTTAAAAATTAAAGGAAGTTTGTTATTTATATACAGTAACTACATATTTTATATGCTGCCCAAGACGATTCCTCTTCAGTCAATGAGCCCAGGCAAACCCAAAAACTCGGCAGCCATGGCATAAGGCAATTTGACTTTGTTTCCTAACCGAGAAGGCATAATGGCCTTCTAAGTAGTTCCATTGGGTATTATCTGGATTTGTTTTAAGATGCAACCCTTAAATGTTGTAACCTGTATAAGCCCAACAAGATCTCTGGTAGCTGGAAGAACACACAAACACTGCCAAGTATCCAAATCCAAATAATCCTCTCACCCAGGGGATTGTAGTCCAAGTTCAACACTCGCACCTGGGAACTATGAGCCACTGCAATAGCCAGACGTCCCCATCCTTTGGGGGTGATGCCAGAATTTGCACTGAGAGTCAGTTCCTTCAATCCTAGGTATAAAAGAAAAGCCAGGTAACCTCAAGGCAACTTTTACAAAGCCTCTTCCATTCCATTGATATCACTGAATTATTAATGTAGGTGAAACTTATCCAACCCTGATCAATTAACCTCAAAATATATTTTCAACACACTATTGTTCAAACTAGCACTACAATTATTTGGTAACCTATGTTAGATATGGAGAAACAAGAAGTGGAGCAAAACATTTTCAGGAACAAAAGAAGCTCGAGTTGCTTGAGTGGCTGAGAGGTAAGCTCCAACAGTGTTACCTTTACCACCCCCAATTGTCACAATAATGTAACAATAAGCTAAATATCTGACCATGTTCTACCTTTCCCCAACTAATGCTGTTCAGATGTGCTGAAATGAGAACAGAAATCCTAACCACTATGGCCCAGTGTTGCAACTTGCAGTCCCACAACTTCTGGAGCCCAAGATTGGGGAAAACTGCTTCAGGAATATTTGAAGTTCTGCTCTCTGATTCTCCAATCCAAAAAATAGCTACAGGTAGCCCTTGACTAACAACCCTTCTGTTTAGTGACCGTTCAAAGTTACAACGGCACTAAAAAAAAGTAACGTGACATTTTTCACGCTTATGACTGATCAAAATTCATGTGATCACCTTTTGTAACCTTCCCAGCTGGGTTCCAACAAGCAAGGACAATGCAGAAAGCCAACTTCGCTGAACAACTGCTATGATTAACAACTATTGCAAAACTTATGTAACAACTGCCTTGTTAGCAGCGGAAACTTTGTGGTCAATTGTAGTCGTAAGTCGAGAACTGAGGGTTATAAATTTAAAAAAGATAAATATAACAGACTGACCTGTATTACAGTTTGTATGTCTTGTCTACAACCCCAGGATGCTATAAACAAAAATATACTTTCAAAATGGAAGATTGTTTATTAAGCTATATTGTGAATATGTGCTTAAAATGATGTATACATTCATTACCCTTTGACTTAGGCATATATTTCCACACCTGCAGCTGATTAGAATTTTACACTTTTCCATATTAATGCATATGTCTGATCAGCTGAACTGATAATGTATGCAAACATACTGTACTATATAATTAGAGACTATATAATTAGGCAAGATGTTACAGTATTCAATTAAATAAATATATATATCATAGTTATATGTTCCAGGGTATGATTATTATGGTTTTAGATAATCAGAAAAACAAGATTGCATTACTTATTACTTAATTTTTAAAATATACTCTGTTTCCCAAAAAATAAGGCATCCCCTGATAATAAGCCCAATTGGGCTTTTGAGTGCATCGCAATAAGGCCAAGCGCTTATTTCAGGGTTCAAAAAAATATAAGACAGGGTCTTATTTTCAGGGAAATACGGTACCATAATTTCGGGAAGTTCATTTATGTAACTTTTGTGCATTTAAAATCAGCATTTGATTTGATTCTTAAGGATGAATGCTTAAAGAAGTACAATTACTAACAGCAAACTCAAATGATTGCTTCTTATTCAAAAAATTTATCCTTAACTGAAGGTCAAAAGTAATCATCATGGTCACAGTCTAATTTAATTCCAACTTGGAAAAGAAAAAAAAATAACAATATAACAGACATCTTTCCGCTTGTTTATATTTGAATAATAATATAGTGGTACTTTTCTTGACATCAGCTAGTACAAGAGAGCTTTATAGCCTCTTGCAATCTATTGTGTATTGAGGAATTCTTAATTATCAGTTTTCCTAATGGAAAAACAGAGGCAGGTTGTTAAAAAAAAACCCTAGCCAAATACAGAGAGCAGGTAAATTGAAAATACATATGCAGAGCAAATCAGGTTTTACATATCTCAGTAGGTTGCTTTCCATATAGCAGTAGTTTCCTATCAGGCAGAAACTGCCTGATAGAACTGGTTGAAAGCGCCCAAAACAATCTTTCTTCCTGAGGTAAATAGAACTAACCGCCTATAAAGGTTGCAAAAGTAGTTGCTCAGCTGTTGTGTGGTACCCAGATCTTCCCCTATAATGTTTTGGTTAGGTAGAAATGTTCTATCCAAATTCTTAACTATGTTTGTATTGTACACACTATTGTATCAGCAGTCTAGATTGGTCACAATTGAAGCTTGACCTCAAATTCATTTACACAATGCTTAATTTAAACTAATCTTTCCTCTGTTGATTTGAATTTCCTAATCTAGTTGGAATGCTTTAAATCCTTTAGAAACAATCTTGGAAATAAAAACGTCCAGTATTATGAATTTGGCCTGGATTTAGCTCAGTTGAGTTTTTACAGAAAACAAAACAAACAAAACTTTGTCCTTGTGGTATTATTTATTAGATTTGTTTGCCGTCCATCTCTCTTTGAGACAACTCTACAGGCTTTATTAAACTCCCCAAAGTGGTATTATTCCCAATTACTGAATCTTGGATGCCGTGACCAAAACTTTATGCTTGGATGTTATCATTCTATTATGATTGCCCCAAATCAGAGGAGAGCCTCCACAATGTGTGTATGTATGTATATCAGGGGTGGGTTATACTTACCTTTACTACCGGTTCGCAATGGGGCATGCACAGAAGCGTTCTGATGACGTCGGGGTTGGTGGGCGGAGCCTCCCGCCGGTTTTACTACCGGTTCTATAGAACCGGTGCAAATCAGGGGCAACCTACCACTGATGTGTATGTTATATAACCATGTGTGTGTGTGTGTGTGTGCGCGTGCATGATTGTATGTGTATATAAGCACAGATCTATTCATTTGTTTTTGTATTAGACCAAGGATCCATATTCAGCAGAACGTACATTCAGCATTTCTACTCTTGAATTCCTACTGGAATCTGGGTTAGAAATTAGTGAAGAATGGCAGGTGGGGGGGGGGGGACAGATTATAAATTCAGAAAGGCAAAGGAGTATTTTACTCAGTCAAGCATTCTCTGGTACTTTTTCTAATTACAGATTTGTTTGAAATTTGCTATATTTAGTTGTTTTGCTAAAAACAAATGATATTTACAAAAAATCTTTTATGTTATAGAAGAATGCTTCACATCTCTAGGGTACCGAGTTGACCGTGTGTGTGTGTGTGTGTGTGTGTGTGTGTGTGTGTGTGTGTATCTATATCTATCTATCTATCTATCTATCTATCTATCTAACTATCATCTATCTATCTATCATCTATCTATATCTATATCTATATCTATATTTATATCTATATCTAGGCCCATTCTAGTTTCACATGAAAAAAGTACACTTCTGTTCTTAATATTGTCTGTAAGGAGTTGAAAATCATTTCTGAATATAACTTTATTAAATGTTTAAAAACATTTTACTTGAAACTCATTTATTCTTAACTCCTTTAAGCCTCATAATCTACCAGAGGATTTCTGGTTTGAGCCCATTGCACTAAGAAACCAAAGCCATAATTTCTTTTGGATAAGGAACTCTTGTCACTCCCACCATCCCTTTTGCTTTGATAGAGCAAAAGATCAAAGAGACAGTTACAAAAGATGACTTGTCCTCTCTTCCTTACCTGACTTGGCCCCATCAGGAGGAAGAAGGCCACAAATCAAGTTGATACCTTCATCCCCCAGCATGCAGTCCCCTAAATCCAAGGCCACAAGGGAGGGATGGATGGATAAAGCTGGGTTGAGAATGGCCAGACCAGCATCTGTCAAAGGACTTCCATGAAGGCTGCATAAAGAAAAATGACTTATAGACTCTCTTTTCTTTGACTTGCAAATGATAAACAAATCCTAGGTCAGTGTTTCTCAACGTCAGCAACTTTGAGATGTGTAAATATCAACTCCCACAATTGTCAGCCAGCATCCACACATCTTAAAGTTGCTGACATTGAGAAATACCAGTTGGCATACTTGCTGCATATGTACTTGTTTTTCAGAAATTAGAATGAAACCAGGCACTGGTAGAAAAACACAGGAAGATTAAAATGGAGGATAGGAACACTTGATCCGTCTGAAACAGGCAGAGCAAATGCTCAATAAACGTCTTCTCTAAAAGCCCATTTATACATATTTTTGTCTCAATTGTCTTGTTTGGGAGCCTATTTCTTTTCTTGGAAGTGATCTCGAAAGCCAATCTTGTCCAACCTTGTCAATTTTAATACTTGTGGACTTCAACTTTCAGAATTCCCCAGCTAGCAGCTAGCATGGGAATTCTGGGAGTTGAAGTCCACAAGTCTTAAAGTTGCCAAGGCTGGACCCCTCTGAGACTTTTCTTAGGTAGATTCTTGTTCATGAAAGTTACTTGTTAATTTAGGAGTAAGACATTCTGCTGGTTTTTTTTTTTTGTAACAAACATTCAAGTTCAGGTCAACCTGTTCTGTATCAAAGGCAGCCATTCCCCACCTTTCTAAAAGCACAATAAGTATCAGAAAGGGTTGTGTATTATTTTCCTGATAAAAATACGTTAAAAAAATATGAAAGAAAACTGTCATTATTTGAGAACCAATAGGGTAAGTTTTAAGAAATAATGTACACTTCTTCAAACTTCAAATTCATAATTGGCATTAGCCATATCCATTACTGGTTGAAGCTATTCTGACTACAGTGGTACCTTGGTACCCAGTAGCATCGAATTTGTTACTCCACGCTTTTTATTGAGAAAATTTTGTCCTGGTACTTATCCTTTGTTTGGTACTCAACACATAAGTTAGACCTTGTCGGTGTTGGTTACTCGTTACCTTTTCCAGCCGATAGTCACACGGGCAGCTCTTGCCCTCTACACGTCCTCTTGCAGTCTTGTCTTAGTTTTTGTGATAATTCTGTGGTATATTTTTGCACTTTTTTTCTCATTAGTACAGATAAAGTGAAGTTTTTATTTTATTTACTCTATTAGCTTTTAGGTTTATTTCTCATGTAAAGTAATGGTATACAACCCTATCTTTTTACGTATTGCCTTAAAATGTACGTTGTCCTTGGTTTGGGAATGCATTAAATTTATTTATATTATTCCTTCTGGAAAAAAACGTATTTGGTACTCATAGTTTTTGGTATTCATTGCATCTCCCGGAACGAATTAATGACAAGTACCAAGGTATCACTGTATTTGGATTAGGTAAATGAAAATCATACAACCTGCAATTATAGGGACTGAAGCAGCTTTTTAAAAAATTATAATAAATTTAAGAGGACTGTCCCAGACCTCCTCAGAAAATTAATACAAGATTTGGAAGCTCATTTAACTGTTCCACCAACATAATGCAACAGAATGGCAAAATATGGGTCTATGTTTTCATGCTTTCTTAACCAAAGGTGGGGAAATTGCATTTCTACTAAAATCTATTGGATTTTGACTTCTTATCAGTTCCAGCCCAAATAGCAAACATTCTAATTTGTGGCATTTACTAAAGACTACCTATTACTCTGGAGAATTCAATTGCTGTAATTATCGATATTTAGGATTGGATGACTTCTGGTTCTTTAAAATGCATTAAAATGACACCTTCCCAGGGCAGGAAGATATGTTTCTTTGGAACAATAACCATTTAACAATATTGAAAGGATACGCTAAGGAATTATAGTAGCCCTCCCTCACGCCTGAGTACATTCCATTTATGTCAATGAAACATAACTTTTAAAGAAACCAACACAGCATTTGCCCTGCAGGATTTGCACCACTGGAGTAAGAGGCAACATTCTCGGTTGGTACTAAAAGGGGGGACGGGGAGCTACTCACAATAAAGATTGGACAGAGCGGTTTGTCTTCAGAGCTTCAGCCAATTGCTTGACCCGATTGATATTGGAAACAATCCCTAAATTAAGATTAAGTTGAGCCAAGGAATGAGACTCTGCCACCCCCTTGCAGATGCGACCGAAATCTCTATCGGAAATTTGGCAACCACGGAGGGAAAGCAGTTTGATGGAGTTCTCCCGCAAGCTCTCACAAATATCCCGAATCTCTGCACTGGATAAAGTCTCCCCAGAGATCTGAATAGATCCTGGCAACATCGCTCTGAAAACCAGCAAACACCTCCCGCAGTTTTAACTACGTTAATCTGGATTGCTCTACTCAAAAAAAAAATATGGGAAACCCAGATTAGCGCACCAGGAGCGCTCTGCGATCCAGTTGAAAAGGAGAAAAGCGGCGCGTTACAAAAAGGAGTGAACCGGCAGTCTTTTAATCCGGTGTAAAATCGGAGGATTGGGTGCAATTTTAAATCAATGGAATGCATTGATCAAAACAATATGCAATTCGGAAAAAATCCTGCCGGACGTATTGCACGAACTCGGACCCACCCGCGGAGACACATCAACCCACGCGCCTTGGTTGCATTGAAGTAAATCCCGCGCAAATCTTGAGTTAAAAGCTCGGAGGGTTAACAGCGCCTGCAGTCTAGACGGGGGGAAAAGGGAGCGCGCTCCATTTCTAAGGATGGGTGGGAAAGTGAGCGGGCTGATCGGCGGCGCAAACAGAAAAATCCCAGGAAGAAGAAATTGCAAAATCCAAATCAGAGCCAAAGTCTTTCCAGGGTTTTAAAACCTGGGCAAGGCGGATTTTCTGGATTCTGCAGAAGCGGGAACCAGGCGTCGGGCGGTGAAGGATCCGCCGAGTATCTTCCGGGTTTTCTCCCGTTTCAAAGAAGCCCCGCTTTTCCCCGGGCGCGCTTCTTCCAATCCGCAGGGCTCGAGTGGCCAGCCTGGGGGAGCTGATCGCCGCCTTGCTGCTCCCTCCCGGCTGCCCCACCTGCTCTCCTCTGGCAGCAACCAAGGCCCGACTCCTCCGGCCCGGAGATTGCGGGCGCTTCCTCCTCCTCCTCCTCTTGCTTTTACCGCACCCGCGGCTACCGCTGCAGCCCTTGACGCAGCTTGACCGACGCGCGGAGCGGATCCGGCCAGTCCCGCCTCCTCCCTCCTTGTGTCCCGGGGGAAGGAAGGATCCAGTTTGATATGGCGCTGGGCCGGTTTCTATGGCTACCCTCCGATACTGCCGCCGCCGCCGCCTCTTGCCAAGACAACCACTCGGCGGCGCCTGCAGCCACCACTTTTCCCACTAAATCCCTCCGCGGGCTGATCCCTGCAGCAACCCTCACCTGTACCTCTTCTTCCCCTCCGGTCTGGAGAGAAAAATAAAAGTATCCAAGTGGGGGAAAAAAATTAGATTGTGCAGAAATGAATAGATTAACCCTGATGATTAAAGATAAGGAGGAATCAGAATATTTTAAAACATGGAATTATTTTTATAGTTGGTTGGAAAAGAGATATAAATGACTGATACCGTAATTATGTATACATGATGATTACAATATTGATTTAGCAATGAAATGTTAGAATGAAGATTTCTGAAGATGAAGATAGAATGATGAAGATGAAAATAGAAGAAACTTATGGAAGATGGAGAAGAAGCCTAGAAGATAACACCATCTCATAATTCATATTACAACAGCGGCCAGACTAGTTTTTGCAAAGTACTGGAAGGATAAATCAACTCCTCCAGAGGAAATACTAATAAACAAAATCCTAGAATGTGCAGAAATGGCAAAATTAACAAGTGATCTTAATAATGATGTGAACTCAAAATTCTATGTAGTATGGGAAAGGTGGTATAAATGGTGGAATAATAGAATAAGATCGTGATGTTAGGATATGCTTATCTTCAGTAATGGTGGCTATGAATTAATCTGATATATATATTTTGCAAATATGTAAATACATGACACCTCGGATGTTAATGGAGATTTGATGTTTTCTACAATTTAAAAAAACTAATAAAGTATATTTAAAAAAAAGAAAAGAAAAGAAAAGAAAATAGAAGAAACTTATGGAAGATGGAGAAGAAGCCTAGAAGATAACACCGAGATGTCACAGGGAAGGGAGGATTGATGTATTAAATGTTTGTTTGTCTTAAAAAATAAAAAAAATTACTAAAAAAAAAAGTATCGAGCCCAGGTGGGGCTCGATGGGAGAATTGCAATTATCTTAAAAAGCAATAGCTGGACTAGATCCGAGGGGATGTCTTCATTTTGGATAAACTTCTTTCTCGTGGATGCTTCTGGGTGGAAATTCCTGGGGAGAACACCAGACCCCCACAGGGTGAAGACCATACTGGGAGTCCCGCAGGTTACTTGACAGATGCTCAGAGATATTGGTGTGTTTTTTTTTTCTTCCCTCAACCAGATTCTGTAGAAAGTCAGCACCCACCCACCCTCCTAGAGAATGAAATATTTTTGGGGATATAAAAAAGGCAGGATAGAATATTTCCCCTAAAGGAGAAATGGGGAAAACATATTAAGGGAGGCAGAAACCAGCCCAGTCTCCCTGCCCCAAGCAGAAACTGAAGAGGCCAGCTTTTAGAAATGCAGAATTGGTAATCCATTCAGAAAGACTGGGTCAGACAGAAACTTCAGATAAGCAACAAGCCAAAGGTTGACAAGATTAGCTCAGACAAACACCTAAGATTTGCATTTCCCCTTTTGTCTATAGAGCCAGCATGACCCCATAGGAATCCAGAAGGTATAAAACCCACCCACTTTCAATTCCATTTTTGTCAGTTCTCCCAAAACTACACCGCGTGTTGTTCTGTTCACCAATAAACAATCTTTCTTTCCAATTACTCTTCATTTTATTCCTGGCTTGGAACTGGACCTGAATTTTTCTTCCAACAATTCAGCCCTTTCACCTCAGAAGGAAGAGCTAAATGGAAAAGCTTCCTTTTCCATTTACAAAATCAGAGTCCATCCTCCAGAATGTGAATCATAAGGTCTGCTTCTTAGTTGAGGGAAAACCATATAAGAATTAGGACAGTGTTTTTCAAAGTCTGTAATTTTAAGGTGGAAGGACTTCAACTTCCAGAATTCCCCAGCTATCAATGGTACTCATCAAGAAACTTGAATTGTATAGATATAAATAATGAATATGGTGGTAAGCTTTAATTGTTATGGCACCAAAAAAAAATGTACCCAGACGACACACTGTTTAATGAATGATGGAATGTTTTGTATTAAAAGAATTTTTTTAAAAAATTCAAAAAAATAAAAGAAAATTGAATTGTATGTTGTTGTGTTACTACAAACTGAATGTGAGTCAGCCATATAACATGATGCCCAGAGTTGCATTATCATGGAGATGGAAGGCATATAAATTCAATAAATAATGGCTGCAATATAAATAATGCAAATATATTTTACCTTGCATTATCAGAAATAGGTCTTTTTTCTGCATTAATCATTCTTCATTTTCAGTATAGGGCCCAATTTTGAGTATCACAAATATGGATTGAGACCAATTTAGATATGTTTGGAGAGAAGCAACAGGGATGATCGAGAATCTAGAAACTATGTCCTATAAAAAGAGATTAAGGGAACTGGAAATGTTTAGTCTTGGGAAAAGAATCTTAAGAAGCTATTAATCAGTAGTCTTTAAGCAGGGTTGTTAATAAAATTAGGCAACAACTGGTTTTGATAATAATTGGTTTTGTTCTTGCTAATTTGCTTATACTAATGCAATCATGTCTGGTATACATATGCATGAGCCTATGTTTTTTTAGTTCAATCCTTAGTCCCAGATTTTGCTACCTGCTACAGCTTTAAGGCACAAGAGCCTGGGGCTCTATTTACATGCTATGTAGGGGTGTTTCAATGGGGAAAGAGATGGTTGGATGCTGATGGGCTTAAATAATGGCCCTTCCCTCGGAACTCATTGTTGCCATTGACTGTGCTATCACAGATCATTTAGCAGGCCACAATTGCCTAGAGTCATGACAGCGTGTGAAGCTTAATGTTTAAACTGTACATAGGAAAAACCATTTAATGACTTAGCATGATATCTAACCAGTGTGATATCAGCAAAACGCTTGGCCACTTTCTTGGTTATCTGAGCCAAGACATATAGCCTTCATACAGGGACCTTTAGGGGGAATAATCAAATGGAACTCAGCTGACCTATGCCATCTATAGTGAGTGTGTTGATCCATCAGGGATAACAGGTTTCAGAATTTGGCTCAGTACATTTTCACACTCTACTTTTTCCATTTCCCTGACTGCTAATAGTGATTCATTATCACAATCTTCTACTCACCTTGCTGCAGTGAGAAGCAAAGAGTTATTACTCTGCCCCAAAAATCCTCTTGACGCCTATTCTCTGTAAAAGAGAAATGGACACCCTCCCTATCCAAGGTGAAAAGCTGTTCTGCCACTTTTCCCCTTGAAAAATCTGCAAGGACAGGTGGCCCACAGGGAGGCAGCAGCTTTTGCAAATGGGGACATGGGTTGCCCAGCAGTTCTGCAGAGCTGCCGCATTTTAAAGGAAAGGATTTCAGAAATGCTGCTGATGAATCAGAAATGACTGGGATTAGCTCCCCAACACTGCTGATGCCCCAGGATCACGGGCAAGCTGGAACTGTTTTCAAGTTAAGTCCTCTTGTGGAATTGCTTTGAGCTGCTGTCACCACTGTCACCATATAGTAATACTCTATTCTTTCTTCTGCTCTCATGAGCCCAGCTTTTGAATTTACATAGCTGCAACTTATTTGCTTATGACCTAGAAAGCCAGGCAGAGAACAGTTTTGGCACCTAACATCAGAGGTAGGATTGGCTTATCTGAGAACTCCTTTCCCTCTTTTCCCACCTTAGAGGAATTATGGAATACAATTATACAGGGGTGGGCTTGAAAAATTTTAGCAAGGGGTTTTCTGCTCGGTTGCTGGGTGGGTGTGGCCATGGTGGGCATGGCCTATTCGGCTTCCTGCACCATGGTGGGGGGTGTTTTTGCCCTCCCCTGGCTCTGGAGGCTTTTGTCAAACCTCCAGGAGGGCGAAAATGGCTTCCCCAGGGTCCGGAGGCCCTCTGGAGGCTGGAAGCAGGCCCCTTTCCAGCCTTCCTGAGCTTCCGCGCATGCCCTGCACTTATCTGCATCCAAAACAGGCCACATGGGAACTCCTGGGAGGGGAGGGGAGGGATGGGTGGGGCCAGCCAGAAGTGGAATTTGGGGGTTCTCCGAACTGCACAGAATCTTAGCTAGAGGTTCTCCTGAACCCGTGAACCCCCAGTAGCCCACCCCTGCAATTATATGTGGGCTAATAGGCAAGATGGTGGAAAATCAATTATTAGTTTCCCACAGCAGCAGGATTCCCCTCTCAGTGATTCCACTCATCTTGGAAAGACTGTGTATACAATCTATTACCCAGTCCCATTTGCAATAGTTTTGGTGAGAAACAGATTGGTGCCTAAAGGATATATTGGAACATGAGTTAAAGTTCCTTTCCTCTGGCAGAATATTTGGAAAAAGCTAGGAAGTTACGCATTCTCGTAGAGACAAGTTCCCTAAGGATGGCCTCCAGCACAAGTCCAAAAGTTCTGAAGACTAAACCAGGGGTGAAATCCAGCAGGTTCTAAGAGGTTCTAGAGAACCGGTAGTGGAAATTTTGAGTAGTTCAGAGAACCAGCAAATACAACCTCTGGCTGGCCTCAGAGTGGGGTGGGAATGGAAATTTTGCAGTATCCTTCCCCGGAAGTGGGGTGAGAATGGAGATTTTGCAATATCCTTACCCTGCCATGCCCACCAAGCCACGCCCACAGAACCGGTCAGGAAAAATTTTGGATTTCACCCCTGGACTAAACCTTTGGTCCCGGTGACTGACCCAGATTGGATCCTGCAACATTATCCTGGGACACATATATTAGCCTTCATTTATAGGAAGTTACATTTATTTTAGTTCTCCCATTAATATAGCTGCCTATTTCACAAATGAGTGCAGTACAATAAAAATTCACTGGCAGTGGCCATCTATTCAGTAAAATAGTCTGTTCCCTGTAAAGTTTAGTGTCTGAACTGATCTGGCCATGACTTTTTCGTTCATCCTCATCTTAGAAAGTAACAGCTGGAATTAAAATAAAACTGGGAGGCACAGTTTTCATAAAGGAGCTTTGCTTACTTTAGCAATCAAACTGTGCAGAGGTTGCTTGGCTGAAGCTTTATGTGATTAATTAAATTCCAGGAATGCAGAGGAAAGGAGAATTAATTCCTGCTG